ACTAAGGTGGTTACACACAAACCACAAAGACACACAGAACAGTGGTCTGGAATGTTTAAGAGGAGGATGAAGTGAGGACAACACACACTTTCACATGTAGTTTCTCCTTAAGTTAAATACTCTTATACAGAGAGATATGGTCTCATAGAGCGTCTGGATGCTGTGACAGGGAAAGGTCAATTTGGAGATGAGTGACTTTGTCTGATGTCAGTATATTTGCTAAATGAAAGCAAACAGGCTGGGAGTCAGGAGAACAAATAGTAAGACCTACTAAGCAGATATTTCACTACTTTCAGTATGGATTTCTATTGATCACTTAGTGTTGGTGTAGACATTATTATCTAAGACGGTGGGATGAATCTGCTCTCCGTCTGTAAGGAGGAATCTTTAAAATTTAATTATACACAATGACATTTAAGCTGCGTCCCATTTCAGGGGCTGCATCGTTCAGAGGGCACATTTGAATGTCACAGCGGCACAGATGTCCTACGGCCACTGAAGGATCCATCCCGTGCATCTTTTGTTGGCAAACAAATCATGAAATTTAATGCGCACAAGTTCAAACGAGTTTAAAGTTATTTCACACTTGCAAAAAAAAAAAGCAGGCCGACTGTCAAGCAGCCTCATAATACGTCTAAGTAAGTAGTTTCTACTCAATCGAATAACTACCAATTATAATGTAGAAAAACAAAAGGGGCCTTGAAACTTCACATTACCTTTTAAATAATAGGTAAAATGACTGACTGCGGTAAAGGCGGAATAAACACAGACTCCTCCATAGGCCAGACCATCACATTTAAGATCAGCCTAAGCAGCCAACGCGGGCTACGAACGCTTGTTTTTTTTGTAGTCTTCTTCCCCTGAATTGGGACAAAGTTAGCGTTAAATCTGTTGTTTCAAACATTTGGGTTGTGTAGATTTTAGCGCCCCCTCTGGATGCTTAATGTAGACGCATGAAAGGTAGTGATGACAGTGGAGCTATGGAAACAGAGGGTGTAGTGTAACTCTGTTATCTTTGTCTTTTTTCTCCATTTACTCAATTCATAGAAATATAAAGGAACCTGAGCCCTAGGATGGGAACCTCTAGCTAAACTACCACCATTTATAAAGTGAGTTTTAATAAGCCCCACCTCAAATACCCACTACATTAACTTTGCTGCACATAGAGGCACTATTAGAATAAACAATGTAAGGAAATAGTTTATTAAAAAAATGGTCGCAGGGAAGTTTTAGAGATAGGCCTCTAAAACGATATTTAAGTCTGGGTTGACTTACTTTGCCTGCTGCCCCCTCGACCCAATCTCGGTTAAGCAGAATAAACGGAATGGATGATTAATGCTTTGGATATAATGTGTTTTAATTGGAGAAGTTCAATTTAGTTTGACCTTTGAAAAAAGAGCAAATTGTTCCTCTATCTCTGTTAACATTTTCCATTTCGAGCTCTGATGCCGTCAGTCAGTACGTGCGAGAGTTGACAGTCCTAAGTGTTTCAAGAAGTTTTTCCTACACCATGAATATTATGCTGAACGGCTTTCGTGCAGCAGCATCCCCCCCCCCCTCCCCTCAGACAGCACTCAGCCAATGACATGACAGGCCTGTGGCTCAAACTGTGGCTGTGTGATAAAAAGGCCACAGCAGACAGACGAGCTGTCAGCCGACGAGCTAACACCGCTACAGAGATGTGAAGGAATGCTTGAGCTAGCGTAGCATGTCGATTGAAGTTCATTTGAGGCCAGAGGCAAAATGTTACATGGCATCTGGGAGTTTGTCAGACCGCCTGTCAAAGAGTTAACAAAGTGTGTGTGAAAGTTTGGCTTCGGATATTGTGATCCTTTGACGGCTGTTCTTCCAAACACAAGTTAACAACTGCCTTCAATCAATGTTGGGAGTGAGGTGTTACATTAGTAATGCATCCCTATAGATTAGGATGAAAGTACTTTTAAACCTCCAGATCGGGACATATCCATATGTAGGCTATTGATCCACAGATCTGACCTGTACTGATCACACACGGTGGTAGGCAAAGGTTTCCTCCTGAGCAGCTTGTTTAAGTGGGTTGTTACCAACGTTAGCCTCACTGACGAAGATCGTAACAACGCTATTTCCAGTCCATACCCACTGTCTGTGTTTGCTCGTTTTAATATGGCTTTGTCTGCATTTCCACTGTGGGAGACTGAAAATGGACACTTGCAGAGTGACTGAAATGCTGCATATTTTTGACTAGTCCCCTCTATAGGAAGCTGTAACTCTCCTGTAGCTCTTTGTAAATGCTAACTTCCTTTTTGGCACATCAGGTAGCCTACCTGTAGTTATACAGCAAGGCCTGTTAGGTTAGGATAAGCTAGGCTAGCTAATTTAGCAGCAGCCTTGGCAATGACATTGATTGACATAATGACAAAATCCAAGCATTGTTTATTGTTTTTGTTTGGTTACAACCTGGACAGGGACTGTTAAAAACCGAGACATATTCATGTTTTATAGATATTCGTGGGGACTCGGGACACAGAGCTTAATCACGGGACAACCTTGGTAAAGAATGGAATTATGGTCGGTCACCCTATAGCTCCACCACTATGCAGTAACTAGTAGTGTGTCTAGTTACTTTTCAAACTCAATACCACCGTTACAACTACAGAAATTTAAAAGGAGTCGATACTTTAAAGTGAAATAGCCGACAGCTATATAAGATTGAGGTTTATTTACATCAGATCTCGTGGGCGAGGTTATGCTAATGTCAGCTAACAGTAGCATCCTGGGAGTAAAAAGATCTCCGTCTGTCAGCTACTGACATTGAACAAGAGAAACCAAAAGCGCCCTCTGCTGGTTTAATAAAAGCAGTATTGTATATTTTTGTCAAATTGATTTAAATAGTTCGCATTTCGTTCAATTTTTTAATTGTATTGTGATACATTAAATCTTTAGTTATTGCACTGGTAACTTAGTTTCTTGCATCGTTGTGTTTCCTGCTTCTGGAGGTCAGAAAGTTCAGAATTGTCAGTCAACAAGGGAGAGAAGCCCTGATGCTTAATGTCACATGAACGTATACATGGATGGATTAATGTGTGGACTTGCAGGGTGCAAAGGGTACATAAATGTGTATGCACGTTCAGTTCTTCTTTTTCATTAACACACTTATTAGAAACTAATTTTTGATTTTCTTTTTTAATTCATACTTATAAATGTTTTTCTTTTATCCCCTTTCTTAGTCGTACCTTGTAACTTCCCATGATTTTACATGTCACCATAACGTCTCATCTGGTAAAAAGAAAAAATCAAACATGGCACAGCATAGTCAAAATGATATCGTTTTATTAAAAGAAAGTTTTCTGCCTGATCTAAGAGCTTGTTTATTGTGATCTGTGTTCCCGGAAATTAAAATTACTCCAGGAAATTAGACAGAAAATTTCAAAGCGGCTGATATTGACTCTTTTTTTGTGTATTTTATTATTAATCTGAACACATGGTGCGCGACCTGAACTCTGTGTACTCAAGTAAATCAAATTTATTCTAATAAGCTGCACATGACCAGATGAATGAGAGGAGCAGAACGCACAGGTCTGAGACACATGCTCGTTCAAACGTTACATCAGGTCTATTCAATTACCGGAGCTTAATTTAAAGAGCTAAGTTTGAAATGAGCAAAAACGTGCTTATAGGCCAGACTTATATTTCCTGTCAGACCTGCCCAGTTAATTTTTTGAATGTCTCAACAATGAATGAAGAGGAGAAGGCTATTTTTATTTTTTTTAAATGTAGCACTTCAGATTTTTCCAGTTTGACCGCGTCCGTTTGCTTCATCAGCCACTAATACACTTCCTTAATAGGCAAATGACAAAATAATGACTTTGCCGGATTGTAAATCACAAAAGAACTGATGTTGGCTCTACAGATACAGCTTCAGAGGTAATATGAATAAAAGAAGTGACTGCCTATAATATTTCTTTATGCTTTAAACGTATTTATAATTTGTCATAAATGATTAAAGGGCAGGAATTAGTTTTTTTTAAGGCCAGATTCTGCCAAATAAGGAGGTCTGCAGTATGTCATATCAGTGTGATTTTAAACAGGACACTGAACCTCTCATTACCTCACTAACTTCCAGTAACTCTGCCCATGACTGCAATGTGTCATAACAGACCATTTTTCACTTCTAGGAACATTATGCAACCGAACCTATCGGCTATCATCCATGACGATGTATTTCTGTGAACCATGGCCTATTTCTCAGTAATTCCGTTGTAACCAGCGGCTAGGATGAATCAACTTTCAGCTGCGACCGCGTAATCATTCACTGCACAGCGTAATGTTTACAGTGCAAGTAGCCAATTGAGAGGCAACCATATGTTCAGATCCAAAGCGGTGTGAAATGTGTTCCTCCAGAAATGTCTGCAAAACAAACACAGTCATTTCTTTCTTCATAACATCTAACGGAGGAGCAGCCGTTCATCTGTTTCTGGTGAGTCTCAGCTCTAATGAAAATAGCATGTTACACAGAGGCTTCTCTCTGAAGTACTCCAGCTGTCAAAAAAGAACTGATTCTCTTGTGATTCACTTGAACAGGTCTTAAGTGCAGAAATAAAATCATGATACAGATTTGGAAAAAAAAAAGGAAGCTCTGTCAGGTCTGTCCTCAACAGAAGAAAACAACTTACAAGGTGTGATCGATCACTTCTGATGCATTCGAGGAGATCAGGAAATCTAAACCCTGCCTGGCTGTTGAAACAGTGTCAGGCACATTTGTAGCTCAAGTTGAACATTTCTTTTGCTGCACTTTCATGCAGATATGTTTATAGATGTTAATGAATTGTCGTCAGATTACCGCTGATTGCGCCTGTTTTACTCTCCACAGGATTGTTTTTTCAAAGCCTGCTATATGATCGGTTGATACTTCTCAGACTACAAACGTACTACAAACAGAAATCAGAGCACTTGTCATACAAAAATCCAGATCCCCTGCCTACATTTTTATGTCAAGAAAACAAAAGCAAAACAAGAATGACCATGAGGCAAGATCTCAGTTTATTTGGCCTAAAAGGGCCATAAATAAAATTTTATTCTCTCAATTATTAACAAGCCACAGGAAGTCTGTGGATGTCTACCACAGCACTTAAAACATCTCGTTCAGTCCACAAAGACATGGGACCCATGTGACACTCTCTGAGCCGCTCTACATCTGAAGGCTCCCTCCCTCCTTCCTTCCTTCCTTCTTTCCTTCCTTAGAAAAATAAAACAAAACATGGTAATACTGCACCAAACTGGAGGCAGAGCAGCAGGGGGATCCTTTTCACGCAGAGAGAGGGGGGGGGGGGGGGGGGGTTGGGGCTTCAGAAGGGCTGTGAGCTTGTTTGGGGAAGCTTGAATCAAACAGCAACAACAACGATAATAAACTAGGAAAAACCCGCAAACTCTTTGTTTTTTTGCAAAGCTGAAGCTGAATGTACTTGGCTTTCACCTTTCCTCCTCTCATTTCTCTTTTCCCTCCAACAGTCCGTCCTCTCCTCCTCCTCCTCCTCCTCCAATGTGTTTTGCTTGAAATAAAAGTGAAATAATATTTATAATGATAAAACCTATAGCAGCAAAAGAGTAACAGAGGAATAACATCTAGAAGCGAGTGACCCCTGGATTTAAAGGAAGGCATGGGTTAAACAGGTCCATGGATGTGAGCCCCGGGTCGGGCCTGTGATCAGAGAGAGTCGTCCCTCAAGAGCTCATCTCCCCTCGATGGGCACCCTGCACACGGCGGCCATGATGCGGCCGAATCGCTCACACAGCTCCAGGGTGGAGTAGGTGGGCAGCTTGGGGGGGTCGTGGAAGCTTTTGATCTCCGTGGAGCAGTCCAGTAACTTCGGGAGGAAGTCGGTCAGCTTCTCCTGGAGGTTTGCTGCTGGCAAAGAGAACAAAAAGATCAGTATACTGATTTACTGAAAAAGGTTTTTTTTAAAGTGAAAATGAGACACAGAAATCAAAAAGTAAATGTTTTCAGTGTGATATCAGGAGTGGTTAGAACACATGTTCCACTGCAGACACAGATAGTAAAGCTCCAGTGAGCAGAGGTCTGGATGATAATATTTAGGTCAGCAGCAGAACAGGCTCTCTGAGGACGGATACCAGAACATCCTGATAAAAGCAAAGGCATCGTTTTTCTCCTAACACTACTTGGTGCAATTTGAAATACTTATTTAGGGCTTCAATGAACTCTGATGTCTGTTCATCTTCTGGTAATTGTGTTGATTTATTCATTGAATGTTGCTTTTGTAGAATGTTGAAACCCTCACACTTTACAAGCAGGCCACAAAATATTTAGCAAATAGTTGATGGACTAATGATTGATGAATCATCTGATTGTTCAGCTTGATTTTACAATTCTATGAAGTAGCACAGAGATAGGGCTTCAATTCAAATGTGTTGTTATTTTCTAAATAAAATTATAACTCTGGGAACTATGGTGCCATGCTGACACTGCTTTGTTTACTGTAGTCACAAGTAAAATTTGATCATGGTGGTAGACCATGGAACTAATAAAAGTTTATTTTTTTCCCCCTTTAGCGTACTCAATCTTTAGATAGCAGTTCCGTTTTTCAGGTTTTTCCATATCAGAGAAAGTTTTTCTCAAGTCTGTAGCTGACACTGGCGCGCTGGTAGCCTAGCGGTTAGCCCCCTGTAGGTAGGTTATAGTCTGTCAAGCGGGTGACACAGGTTCAAATCCGACCTGTGGCTCCTTTTGCTGCATGTAGTTCCTCACTCTCTCTCTCACCACGGTTTCTCCAAAATAAAAGGCATGAAAAGCCCAAAAATAAATCCTAAAATAATAAAATCCTAGCAGATACTGCAGAATCACAACTTAAACTTATTTATTAAAATATCCTTGAAGCTACTCTGATTAAATGTGGATTTAAGTGACCCGTATGGATCAACCTCTTTTCTCTCCTGGACAAGCTAAAGTAGAGTTTTCAGACTGAATAAATCATCCTACTTTCTGTCAAAGTCAAATGCATGGCTAAATTTGATTGTGAGTTTTTCAAGAGAACATGCAAATAAAGACCGTTTAAGCAGTGTTGTTATCGCTTCATCTGATACCGATTAATGTCAGTTTGTTTCTCAAACAGCAACAACTCCTCACAGGAGCTTAAACAAATGGACACAGGAATGGTGGAAGATGCATGTTGGATAGGGAGTTTCACAAAACAGTGGAACAGTTTCTAGATAAAATATGTTATCCAGATTTCTCATCACAATTTGAAAACCCTGCACATCCTCAAAGCCTTTCCTGACGTTCAAACAGAGCCGTGTCCTGATTCTTTGGCAGGGTTCATTGGATGTTCTAGTAACGTATGACCTCAACTCTCCAGAAATATCTAAGAGGGTGAGCGTGTTGCTCCCCTCTCAGGGACTCACACTCCATCTCCTGGCCCAGGTAGGAGCACCAGCGGTTCCTCATGTCCTCCACAGCCAGCAGGTCTCTCTCCGCGTCGTGGACCAGCAGCAGAGGGATGCAGGGCACCACCAGCTCGTTCATGATGCCCAGGCCCGTCGTCACCTCCGGCTCCTCCCCCGACTCAAACATGGCCGCTGCCTGCTCGTTCAGTTTCTGTGGAGGGGGGGGGGCATGGTTAATCTTTCAAACATATGATTATTAGTGGTATTAAAATAGATGTCTGATACAATCATCTGCTCAACGTAATTACAGACACATCAGATACAAACCAAAACTGGGACAACTGTGCCCCAAAACACACCCAGATAAATGAAAAAAGTTAATTTAAACAGGTTTTTATGACTCCTAGTTATGTCAGTCTTACTGTGATTTGGTTTATTATCGAGGTTCAAGACTTTATATGCGATTTTTTTGATCCAGCAGATGTCGCCCTTGAGCACCAGCATGAAACCAAAACAACTTGCACTGCATTGTTGTGTTAGCATGCCTACTGCCTAGAAACACAGTTAAGCAGTGAGTACAGTATGTTATTCTTCTTTTCTCTAGTCCCTCAATTAAACAACTTTTATACGTGAGGGGAGGAGTCAGCCGGCCGTCCGGGCGATGTAAACAAACTGAAGATAGGACTCTGAAAACTCTGAAAACATCACAGACAGTGGGACTCGGGTGTTACACCCATTGTAGACAGTCATGACTCACAGAGTTATTTTCAGAGGATATACTTGATTTCTACATTTAAGTGTGAAAAATCACATATAAAGACTTTAAACTACGTGTCTGATTATTTGATTCTTTGGTGCTCGTCAACATAAAGTACGACGTTGAGAGGATTCAGTTGAAACACGGTGTTTCTCTCTAATGTGCGCGTTGTTGGAGCTTTGCAGCTTACAGGATTGTTGAGTTTAAATCCCAGATCAAAGAAAATTGATGGTCTCTGAGGAGCTGCAGGCGAAACACGTTGTTCACTCACACTAAAGTAAAGTTTTCTCAGTGTGTCACAGAGTTTTGATTTATATTTTCATGGTTTCTTCCTGTAACTGTGCACACCTGAGAACGTCAAGGATGTGCACTGTCTGTTAAATATCTGTTTGGTTCTTTGTATCTTGTCTTTAATTTATATTTGAATGCAGTTGGAGCCGCTGGAACACAGACAGATTTCAGACTTTGTCCGACAAAATAAAGTCCTATCCAACAAAATATTTTGATTAAAAAAAACACATCACACTCTTCTAAACCTTACAGAAATGTGACCTCTGGTTTCATCATGTGGAGCAGACACTGAGGCACTTTCCCCCCGGTGATGTAATGTGTTTTTTTTCGCAATCGAGTCAACAAGTAAAGTTTTGTATTTGACTTTAGATCTGTTGTTTCAATTCTATATTTTTTAGATGTGTCAAGTTTTTCACTTTTGGACAAATATACTGTGTTTTATTTTGAAGTTATGACGATCGTCAGGTAACGTCTGCTTCTTTTGTCAATGACTGTCAGTGGATTTATGGGCTGTTATTGAAGATAATCAAAATAATAGTAAAAACTCTTTTTGTATAGCACTTTTAAAAACAAGGGTTGACAAAGTGCAAAAGCAAACATGACAACAAAGTATGAGACACCAAACCAAAACCCCAACAGGAAAAGACCCCAAACAAAAACCTGACCAACATCAGAACCCGAACATCATAATAACCCAGACAACACAGGAAACCAGGGAGCTTAGTTTGAGACCAAGAAGAGCAACTTGTAAGATAAAGCATAAACCATTACAAGAGATGGAAACAAAAGAAGGTGGCTAGAAGCTATAAAAGAGATGAGAGAAGTCTTAAAGGAGAGAGGATAATATCCCTGGTGGGGCCTTGCTGAAAAAAATTACATGGCAATATATCGTAATGTGCTCCTTGCAAATACATGTTTAGTTGGAGATGTTACAGAATCAACGTCATCATCATCATCAAACTTTATCCAAGTTCTCGGAGAGCTCATTGAGGATCACCCTCGTTTACAAAGAGGTGTTGGCTGCAAAGCTGTGATGACAGTTTTGAAAAAGACAATTGACCTCTGGTGCAGCTCCCACCACAGCCATAGCTCTGGGATTCAAATAGTTAAATGCATTTCTAGGATCCTCGAGGACCTGAATGCTTGATGCTTCTGACTTATGCCTCTGCTGTTGTAGTGAGTTCTGTGTAGCACATGGTTATTTTCCAAAATCAATATCACGATATGTATTGTATCGTTGGGTTGTGGGAAATAATCAGCCCTAATCCGTGGGAATGTGAAAGTCACACAAATCTCTTGATTAACAAATCAAATCAGTCATTTAAACAGTAGCAGGCACCTTTCTCTTTCTACTCCTCATAGTTTGAAATCCTCCTCTCTACACTCGAGCAGCAAGTCGCCCTCTGGCTCCGACTTCTTCAAAGAAAACACATCGCTCACATTCAAACTGCTGATACCTACAGTATGTTATCTTATGTAAATGTTTTAACTCCAAACAACACTCTTCAGTGTTTTCAATCCACCAGTCATTTGACTTTCCCTGTTCTCTCTTTGGAAAAGTTTCTGTTTTAATAGATAAGTATCAGACAGCTCAGGCCCTCGCGGTAATCCAGAAACAGACATCGTTAATATCAGTGAATCTCCCGCAGCCAGAGGAGTTAAAGTGGGTCCTGATGTTCCTGCCTGCATGTGGATTCAGGCTTTTCTTCCTCTTCTTGGCTTAAACAACCTCGCTGTCACAGACAAACTCCCTGACCTCCTCTCCGAGGAAACGACCCGCTTTTCTCGGAGCCAGTTTGGAGTCGAGGGACTGGATTCGCGAAAAAACATCCAAGTACATTAACTGTGTCAATGTTAGCAGTGTTTTCAATTAAAACAAGAGCTGAAGGTAAACAGCCGAGCGGACGCAGCCAGAGGTTCTGGCCAGAGATCTGAGCTGAGCGACCGGGCCGCGCAGAGCCGAGGTTTGAGGTGAGCCGAGGACACGCTTGTGTCTCATGGTAATGTGTTTACACTCGCTGGCCCTCCTGCTTCCTATTCCCACTCCAGTGATTACATTATGAGCACAATGCGAGTGTAAGGTTACCGAGTGCAGCAGCAAGAGGGCTGCTAAACACCAGTATGAGGCTGATCGCACCAAAATACCCTCGGCCCTAACCAATAACACCAGAGCACAGCCTGCAGCGTGGAGGGGGATGGGGGGGGAAATGAAAAGGGGGCTCACATCACGACGCTGAGAGGATTTTCATCTGCCAGTATCAGATGAAAAACCGTCGCTGGAATCTTTTGTGGGCTGCAAGCGAGCCAAAGCAATATCTCAGCGAAAGCAATTTGATTACAGTTGCACGGCGCAGTATTGAAGGGGAAATGTCTGAGCGTTAGTTTTGCTGAGTCACTTTAGCAGAGGAAGTTAAGGGAGTGTCGGCGAGGAGACGAGTGTCACAGGGAGAGAAGACTGACAGACTACAGCTGCAGATAGGGATGATTATCTGGATTTTTCTGTTAATGAATCTCCAGATAAATCAATTAAAAAGCACAGCTCATAACATGACGGAGAACAGAGAAAATGCTCATCCTAGTTTCTTTAAGTCCGAGGCAACGTCTAGAAATGTCTTATTTTGTCCGACATACAGTCCAAACCCCTCCAAAATATCTTTTTATGATCCTTTCAGACAGAGAGAGCATGAAATCTTCATATAAGGGAGGCAAAAAAAAAACACATTTCCTGCCTGTCTTGCATTAAAAATGTATACATAGATTTATCAAAATAGAAGATAATTATTATTCTATTCAGCGCTGACTTGATTTTTCTATTTATTGTTGCTGCTTTATGACAGCTCCTGAACAGACTCGGTTTATTTGAAGTTCTTTGACGTACAGGAATATATATATACAGTCACCACAAAATCACTATGTTTCTGGGTGTTTCCTCACCAGCAAACACTCTCGTCTGTAATGACCGAGCAGCTCCTCGTTGTGCCCTCTGTACAGCCCCTTCAATAGAAGCTCCTTGTTGTACTGGTACGAGTAAATGAGATACATCAGAGCCTCCACGTAACTGCAGGGAAAGAGGAAAGCAGATGTGACATTCAGATAAAAAAAAAATAGTATCAAAGTTGCAGCGAGACGACTCACAGGAGTGAACTCTCGGAGAGAAGAAGTGAACTCGTTGAACTCTCTGCACTAAAAACCAGAAAAGTGGAGGCTGTGCACACGCTGTGAGCTGCTGCCCCCTGCAGGCCACAGCTCGACATTTAAAGGGACTGCTGCAGACGAAGAATAGTAGAAGAGGTCTAGACTGCATGGATTCAAAATGATGTACCTGTACCCACAAAGGGGGACCTGGGACCATGTGTTCAGGGATCAGAGTGGACAAGAATGGTTTTTAGAAATATATATACCTAACCAGTTCTTACCTGAGATGATACAGACTGGACCCTGTGCATGTCTTAGAGATCCACAACGTGTCAGATCCAAGAGCCCACAGTCCAAAAAAATAAACATGCACTGAAGTATAAGTATAAACATGTTCTCAATGGTCTACTTGTTTTTGTCTCTCTTTAAAGATTCTGTGTCCCATCCAGCTCACTTTCAAGTTAAATTCAATTTGCAAAGGTGATGTGCCAAATATTATTTCTTCTTTACGACTTGAAATGCATTAATACTCCAGAGCAGGAAGAAAAAAAAGTGAAGTAGATATGTTCTACTGCTTAAACCATCTGTCATGTGATTTGTTACCCTTCTTATGACAAATAATGCTGAATCATGTTTCCGATGTCTTGTCATGATTTTTCTTTTTATCTTCATTTATTTGGTTGTTGTGTCCTCATCTGCCAGCATGTGACTAAGTGACTGAACCTGTAAAAGTGACAATCTGCCACATGCAACAACTGAAGGCTTAACTTATGTCTTACTGTCTAAAACTAATAATAAAGGAGGAGGAGGGCACAGAGGGGGTGCTACCCTGTTTCTCCTCTTTATATGTATTCTTAAGCTTGTTTAATGTGTTAATGTGTTTCCTCTCTGCTGATTATAGGCCTTCTCAGATTGACTCAGGTATTAAACCTTAATGATAAACAGAGCAGAGACCCCAGCAGCAGAGTGGGACCCAAACCGGGCATCAAATGAGCCAGACACAATGTGTGGGTAGACCTGTTAATGTGTCTCGAATGTGCAACACTAAATTCAAGATAATTGGAAGAAGTTAACTTTCGACAGTGTTTGATATCAGTATGAGAGCTGCATTGTATTGTCCATATCAGATAAGATCTTTGTTAACTGAAGGTGTCATCGTACTTTGTCTTCTGAAAGAGCTCCAAGCCGGTCATCATGAAGATGGTCGTCTCGCGGAAATTCCTGTATGCCTGATGCCACATCTGACAGAGGAAACACAAGTTACCACAGGCAGGCTGACAGACATTTAAAAAACAAAGATTCAAGCAAAAACCTGTATTTTCATGTTTAAATATGTGAAAGCAATAATGTAAAGATGAGGAAGGAAGTAACAAAGGACTCAGATCTACTCTTTAAGACAAATGAAACGCGGTACTGACCTCGTATTCATCCATGTTGACCTCCTCGGGCTTGATTAGGTCCAGTTTGGCACGTGCCACATTCATAATGCTCTTACATCTGTAAAGGGGGGGGGCAGGAAGAGGACCCGGCGAGATGGTGAGTCATTGTGAGGTACTCCAGGAGATGAAACAGCCTGTGCTGGCCCGCGGCCTCAGCACGGCCTAATGAATCACTCTTTAGTGCTGAGAGGAGAAGTGAAACACTCCTCCCGAGGCTCCTATTCAGGCCACATGCACACATAAATCTAATTATCTCGCTCAAAATAGAGGAGAAGGCACAAATCAATTCTTCACTCATGAATATGGATTGAGGCCAACAACCACAGCTGAAAACTTTTAACAGCGAATAAGAGGCAACACACACACACACAGACAGACACCATGATGACACATGCATCATGATGTTAATATGGAGAGTATCTTGATATTTTCCAGACGCATTCATAAAGAAAGTCATTATTGGACATGCTTCTCCTCAGATTACGTTTGAACAAAAGACAGAGGGAATATTATGTGGAAATGGTAAGCGTCGGTTGACTGATGCAGTCTGTGATGACAGAGCGTCTGTTTGTCCTGTATGTCTGAGGGAAGGTCTCTGCTGGCCCCTGCTGGACATTTTGAGAACTTGGTTTCATTTAAAGCTCTAACATGATTTTACTTAAATGACTCATTTGAGTGCCTTTGTTTGTGGTTATTTTAAATGTTGACCTTTGTTGAGGTTTTTAACCCTTTCCACACCTGTACGGTTTGAGAAAGTTAAATCAACCTTTTCCTTCTTGGTCTAATATAAAGTTATATATCCCAAACAATGAATAATTTGTTTATACAAAACAAAGACTCCTCTTGATTTGGTATATAAAAATGTGACATGGGCAACATTTTTAAACAAATATGATAAAAATATACTCAGTTTAACCCTTCATTAACGAAGTTTTGAGACTTTATTTCCTTTTTCAACTTTCAGAAAATGTAAAAGTCAAAGAATAAATAAACTACTGCCGCTAATAACTTCCCTTTTATCTCTAAAACAGGTGTACATTAAAGTCATGAATCATTCCAAACTAACACAATGATGTCACTATTTATAAGCTGAGAAGTATTTGATCCTTATCTTAAAGGTGACATATCCTCCTCCTCTTCTTCAACCAGTTTAAATAAGTCTCAGGGCTCCCTAAATCATGTCTGTGAAGTTTCTTGTTGTAAATCCACTCTGATCCTGTATTTGATCATGTCTATAAACCCCTGTATTTCAGCCCTGCTCAGAACAGGCTGTTTCTGTGTCTGTACCTTTAAATATGTAAATGAGCTGTGTCTGACCACGCCCCTCTCTGGAAGAGGAAGGGGCTCAGGTTTTCTTGCACCTTACCCTATTGTTGATCTATAGAAGGCAGACTCAGAGGGCAGAACAAACACCTAGCTCTGGGAGTGTCACCCACCTGGGGGAGGGGTTACTGCCCTTTGTGATGTCATGAAGGGAAAATCTCCTAACGGCCTGTTTGAGCACACATTGTCTGAAAAGTGGAGCAGGCAACAGATGGAGAGAATGCACTTTTCTCATAATTGGGGGGTTTGTTGACTGACTAGGGAGACATTAGTGTTAGAAGATGGTAAAGTTTATTCTGCACAATATGTGACCTTTAAGAATGTGGTTGAGAGTTGCATCTTCAGCAACTTGTACGAGAAATAACCGCATTATTTAAATGTGGTAAAGATGTGATAAACTGCTCCCAGGAAAATGGCGTCTGTCTGCAGGAGTGACAGCCCAGACTTGATATGTGATTTTTATTAAACGATTCATCTAAAAAGTCACTATGCACTGTGGGTAGGGATCTTCAAGCAAAAACACAATCTTAAGGATTCCTGCAAATTACAACTCAGTTTAGCACAGAAGGAAACCAGGTGGAAAACCCCCTGACAATCGCCACATATCACAGAATTGTGGAGTATATTTTGCTTTCAGGTTATTGATGACAACCTTTACTTATTACAGTACAAGTCAGAGAATTTGCATGTGTGTTTTGATGTTCTACAAAGGATTTAAAATAATGACAGTAGTGAGAAAAGCAGATAAGGAGCACACCAGGATTTGGTGTCTAGAGGTTTGAAAACAAAGTACAGCAGAGTGTGAGATGTAACCCACCTCTCATCGAAGGCCAGGTTCCTGTCAGCAAACTGTGTGAGCAGAGTCCTCTCCAGGATCTTCTTGGGCGCCTGGTTCTGGATGAAGTAAACGATGATGTGCTGCAGCCTGTAGTCGTTCTCAGGAGGCGTGTCCTCCTGGGCAAATCTCAGGAGACGAGCGTACTCCAGCTTTATGGCCTGAGAGGAGACACAGACAAGTGGAGTGAAGGTTTAAGTTGAGCTGACACTGATTGCAGTAGCAATTTCTTCTCGTGTGTCATATAAAAATTGTCACTTGTATCATAGGAGCCAACCTGTTCGTTCCTGATGCGTGTCCACTTAAATATACTCACAGACCCGTTGTTTCACTTGATTTTTTATTTCATTCATAATTCCACTTTCCATTAGAGATCCAAAATGAATATATCAAAACTTATAACAAAAGGTCACAATCAAAAAACATTTGCTGCGTGGCTCCTATACCTCCACCACAGTCCACAAACAAAAAACGATCTACTTTCTTCTCACCACCTGTGCATCGCACCCAAATTAATTAACTCGGCTCCACCCATAACACAAAATACCTGCCAGAATATGCCCAAATAAATCCATTATTCATCATAAAGGTTTCTTTGTCAAATCAAGTACTTTGCATAAATTAATACTTATTTCTTACAACACAAAAAAATATACTCTATTAACACAAACTTAAACCATACTTCTGGAACTAAAGTTATCATGATTAAAATGGCCTCTACACTGATTCTTGTGCAGGTACCATGGAGTTGAGATACTGCCAACAATTCGACTTCTGCAATAATCACACCTGGTCGTTTTTTGTTGAATAATAAACTTTTACGATCATCAACGATGATGATGTCGTTGTTGCACACTTAAAACGTGCAACTCAATGCTGGCCCGGGGATCAATAACAAAAAAGTAGTAATAACTACTATTATACTCATATTTTCACAAACTGATTAATACACAATAAATATATATTTTTTTTTAATAAGAAAAATGAAACCATGTATTTGTCTCGTTCTTACATCTGTGCATCATTTTGCACCGCAATGCATGATGGTATAGATTGGCTAGCGACCATCGGGTGTACACTACTTTTCTCAATGACCTGAGGGATACAATGATACCAATACATCAGGCGCAGTGATTCTCATTTATTATTTTGGGACAGCACCACAAAATGGTGAATTTCCTCTCTACTGTGCTATTTGATGAGTGATGTTAGACACAGCTTATGAGTTGATTTTTAACCTCACACTCAAGGAAATATTTGTATTTCAAGAGTGTGAGCTTAAAATATGTGGACCACAAAGAGTCTAACAGTTGGAGAACATCATGCCCAATGAAACTGGCAGAGAGGGAAAGGGAACACAGATGGTTTTTGTCCTAAAACAGAGAGGGGGAGAGGTCTTCTTCTGAAAATGAAGTGTGATCATACCCTAAGATTCTCATTGTTATCTGAAAGATTAAATTAAATATTTTCTGTATAATATACAGTACTGAGTGTTTTTCGTCTTTCTAACTTTGTTGCAGGGAAGTATAAGACACACAGTGATACATAAAGGAGACGGTGGAGGTGAAGTGAGAGTGTGAAATGAGTATGGGTATAGGAGAGGTGATCATGTACCTTAAAGAAAGCCGTCTCAGGCCCACTCTTTTCATACACAGCGCTGGATTTGCCAATAGCCATAATTACACCCTGCATGTTGGGGGTCATCATCGCCTGCCATAAGAGCAGGAACCATGTTAAACAGAAACAACAGATCCTCGTAATGAACTGAGCACAATCAACCACTATGTTATGTCCTCTGAGGCACCACCACCAAGCATCACTCAGCAGTCCATGCAGAGGTTAGAGTGACACTGTGAGGGACACAGCCAGTCAAGTTCAACGGCACTATGTGCACTCATCACAAGGATAATGTGTGAAAACCAGACAGCCATATGACAGCTGTGTGTGACAGACAGCCAACAGTGCAGACACAGGCTGAAATGAAGACAACAGTCTGGACCAACATGTTGCTACTGATGAGATGAAGCCAAAAGATGATCAATGACTCCTCAGAACTCAGTGAAGTCTGTGCAAACTGTGAAAATCCTCCTCAAGTAGAGCTGAACATTTGTATTCAGAATTTATTTCAGTCAAATTTTCATTTTCTGCTGAAGATTTAAAATCTGAACGATAATTTGCCAAATGACAGCAGATGTCAATTAGCTCGTAGCTAACTCTGGTATAATGGCAACATTTACATTTAATATTTTTCATGGTCCATTTAAAAAATCTATATACAGTATATTCAAAAACAATGCTTTTAGTATTTCTTTCTTTTTTTTTTTTTTTGGGAGTTCAGCATCAAAAACGTAAGCCTAGAGAAGTCTCGTGTTTTATCTGCATGGAGTTTTCCAAAACCAAAAGGCTTTCTGCAGGACACTGAAACATTTTCAGACGATCATTATTCTAAGAGTTTCATGTGAGTGTCGTTTGTACCTACGCTTCATCACAACTGAAAGAAATCTGAGAAAGAAGCAAAGCGAAAGTCAGCTGCAGCACAGCTTGGACACTCCTGACACCTTTCAGAAAAGCATCAGAGACCCTCATTTTGAACCTGGAACTGCTTTTATATATATATTGTTATTGTTATTTAAATGAACGGGGCTGTTTGTTTTGTAGAGAGACCTCTGTGGATAATTTGAGTCCTTGAAAAATCCTTGTGAAAATGAACACTGAGGGATCCCTTACCTAAAAAAACAAGCCGTGCACAGACAGTTAGCATCAGCAGCACTGCTAGCAGCCCCTCCTTATGTCCATTGTCAAAGAGTGTCGGGAAACACCAATCTTTTCTTAGACTACTTTGTTCAGTATTCAGTTCTAATCCCTGAGTCAGATTATTTCTGAGAGGAAGAGACCTCTGAGGATTCAAAAAACTGAGTTTGTAAAGTTTACAGCATGCCATGCAGATGCTCCTCCATTACTCTGAGCACAGAAACAGTTCAAATCAGGGTCTTCTTGGCTGATTCAATTAATGGACTTACTGAGGTAGCTCTGTGTTGAACAGGTTTTAAGTAGTCGTCAAAAGGACAACATGAAGCAGCTTATTCAAATCACATCCCTAAACTGTTTTTTTTACTGTGAGTTTGAAGCAGCAGACCTAACGTTTTGTGAAAGGTCAGCCTGTCTTTGTGCCAAGATGCAGAGTGGCTCAGAGGAGACTTTTCACACAAGAGTAACACAGGAAGGTAACACTCCATTTCTCAAACAGGCACAGACTCCTCAGCACAACAAGGGGGTTTGTTTGGGGGGGGCGAGAGCTACCTCGTCATCATACCCCCCCTCCTCTGACTCAATGACAAACGTCCCCACGTTAGGTATTGCCACCTCAACGGTGCGCTGGCCAAGGGACTCGTCCTCCGAGACCGAGTCAGGAGGAGGGCTGGAGGGGGGGCTCACCTGGACCTCGGGGTCGGGGGAGGAGGGAGGGGGAAGAGACTGTAGAGAGAATGGGAGAGATGAAACAGGAAGGACAGAGAACTGATGTAATGGAAAGGAAGGATACATGTAGAGGGAAGAAATGCAGAGAAATAGAATTGTTTTTTTTTTTAAACTAGGCTTAATATGATCCCTGTTCAGACTCATTGTGCACAGTTTGTTGAAATTATAATGAAAAAGGGATTAACTGGTCATTTATCTAAGCCAGTCTTTAAAAGAAAGTCCCATATAAGGGAATGTGTATAAGGGAACTTTTTATTCCTTCAATCATGTTGGCTGTTAAAAGCTTTCTTCCTAATGCAATTCCAATGTAACAATGACCCAACGAGACCCAATGTTTTGTGCAAAAATGCATTTCATTTGACGCTGATAAGAGGAAGGCTGAGTTAGTATTAAAGGTATTTGCAGTTAGACATTCCCTCTTTTTATCATATTCCTCACAGCAGCTTGCAAAGTAAGATCTGTACTGTTGGTGTGAGTGTGAGTGTGAGTGTGAGTGTGAGTCTGTGTATTTGAAACATACAGAATTTAACAGAGCTTCGGGGCTCCTCTCCTCCTGCTCAGCAGCAGCTCTGGAGATGGCTCTCTCTGTGTCCTCCTGCAGGTGCTTGGAGTCGTTTGTGGGCGATGGCTGCTCCATGTACTCCGGGTCCTGCTGGGGAGCTGCAGGCGGGGAAAAGAAACCATAAGAGGAAACACAAAAATCAATGCTTCATAACACTGGAAAAGTATTATTTTCAAATGATTTCCTGCTGTTGTATATTCACACAAATGCCCAAACAGCCATTCACTAGGTGTTAAATGATCTGCATTAGTCTCCATAGAATAATAGACAAGATTACATGTAGAAACGTCTTATTTGGACAGATGAGTAGATGCAATTCTAGTTTAGGTTATGACATCGTTTACATCATAGACTGTAAATAAGATTTGGGGGTAGCCTCCATGCCTATACCGATCAAGAAGTGCCTGTCTTTAATCTGCATTTATTCTACAGTCCAATAGGGGGAGACACCACGGGTTGCAAGAAGAAGTCTGAATTCATAGAAGTTGATGACAATATCGTTGTACTTCTCATTTGATTTAGTGACCTTTTTCTGAATACGTTTATTGTCGCAATCATGACTTTCATGTTCAATTTGTTAACCATAGTCCCCATTTACAGTCAAATAGATGATAATCCAGGGAGTGCTTTAGGGCGTTGCTGTCGCAGTGACCAGGGAAAGCTCCGTCAGTATTTGGTCAAACTGTTCAGTGAATACACTGTTTTTAATGTTTATTCTCTAGCAATTATTAATATCATTGATACTTTGAATTATTGATGCACCTTGCTGACCATGCTAGCACTAGTGCTAGATGAGTACTTAATGTCTGCAAAGCTCTCCTTACTCTCACTTCCACCACACATCCAAATAGAATCAATCCTGACTCCAGAAAATAAAAATCTAGATGTCCAAAATGCCACATTCACAGCTGCAAAATGAAAGTCACTAAACTAATGGGTGATGTCATAGAGGCCACATCCCATAAACAGTGCATGGACCACATTACATATCAGTTTGATTGGTGTGAACATAATTATTGGTACTTTCATCTCCTAACTTAGAAAACCGTCCTGCCGTGTCTGCATAATGCATTAAAAATGAATATAGGCTGAATTGTGAACATCTTAGCTCACTTTTACAGCAGGCAGTTGTCAGTGAAGTTCTTTCCAGTGATCTTATGAATGTATTGTCAAAGGCAGACAGAGTACTAAGGCCGCAAGGCAATATTTCAAGGTCATTTCCTCATCCTTTTTTTTTTTTTTTTAGTCTCAAGAGAACAAGAGTTTTCTGTATTTATCTTCCTACCCGGTATTGATTCTCAATTTAGTATTCTCCTCTTCTATTCTAAGCGTCGCGACCCTGACCTGCGTTGTCTGGAGGGCTGGACTCGATACTCATTGGCTGAGGAGAAGAGGATGAGGTGGAGGTTCTAGACGCCGCCAAGGCAGCTGCTGCGGCTGTGGCCAGGGCCAGCTTCTCCTGCTGGGCCTTACGCGCCTGCAGGGCGTCCCACTCCTGGATCTCCTTGTCGAACAGCTCGTTGTCCTCCTTCACGTACTGCTTCAGGTCTGGAGGCAGTTTGTCCATGCCGCTGAGTATCTGTCCTGTTTCTTTATCAAACTCCTCTGAAAAAAATAAACAGAGAAGGAAATAAACATAATCTGCTAAAAACATGACAGCAGAGGTAAATTACTCTGATTTCTAAAACTACACTAAGAACAATAGAAAACAAATAGAGGAGAGATGTTGGAACACACACTCTCTACACAGCATGTGGTGAGGAGAATTTGTTTCTCCATCTAACTTTTTCCACTTTTCCCTAAGACTAAGACAAGTCTACTCCTGGCATGATCAGAAACGAATAGTCGTACGGGTAAATATCTTGGTAGGGAGCAGCCCCAATCTTAACTATTGGCTTTTGTCTGGGGACTTTATAGGCTTTGCAAACAGGGGCCACATTTTTACAGTTTGCGATAAAGGACTTCCAACTGAGGCCCCGTGTCCACCTTGCATTTTTTCCAGGCTGAAAAGCGCTGCTTGTGCGCCCGGGATTGTTTGCATGAATTGTTTGTGCCCTGAGAAGAAAAGCGCTGCATGTCCAGCCTTTTTCTATGACAACAGTCGGTTGACAACGGCTGCTCTATGACCAACACTGCTGAGTTTTTTTAAGTGTATGTTTAATATTTGAGATCTTTTTTTTTACCCCAACAGATGCGGAGCAAACAGGAAGTGGGTACAAGACACGATCCGTAGGCAGCAAACCTACAGGGAATATCATACATTTGGAAAAGAGCGCCTGGTGAATTCAACTTCTGAGAACGCTCTCTACTCATTGAAAACAACTGAAAAAAGACGCTAGCGTTTAGGAAAAAACGCTAGGTGGACATGGGGCCTAGGACTTCCAATTCTATGTCACATAAGTGAGGACATATAAGTGGCTTTTTTTTGCTGCACTTCGATGTATGTGTTTGTCTGAAGACAAATAATTGTATGAATAATGATGAGTTCTAGGGTTGTAGTCTGCCTCTTTTGCCTGTGTTCCTGCATACAACCACTTAAGTCCACTTCAATGCTACTGGGACTATTGGGACATTAAGGGCATCCCTAACTGTGACCTAGTCCATCAACTGTTTCGGGAAATTGTCTGAATTAATGAACAAAGTCAAAAAACAAACCCTCAGGACAGTTCCTACAATAGTTCTTCATAGACACATATCTTTGTGTGTGTGTCTGACTGTCTGTACCTTCTATGAGAAAGGGTTTCTTGTCATTGATATACATGAGACAGTAGGCACTGGCGTTGCGATAACCTCCAAACGAGTCCCTGACCAGCTCCTCCCAGGACGACTTGGTGACAGAGATGTCGTTGTACTTCATCCAGCAGCGCTGATGTGGGTCGTAGATGTAGGCCCAGTAGTGGCCCGCATTGGCCTGACCTTCATGGACCAGCACAGCATGAAGCCTGTATGGAACCTAGATTTAAAAAAACAGAGGAGACTTAAGAAACTGATTTAACAAAGGGAAAAAGATGAGTCTTTCTTAACTGCATAGATGACAGGTAGCAGAACATTTTGACTCACCTGCATCATTGATTTGTCCGAGTACATCAACTCAATGGTTCTGTGGATTCTGGTTATGCTCCCCTGCAGATCTGATTGGACAAACATCACATACAATACATCCATAAATGTCATCTAATCTGGACGGTTATATCATGCAAAATGAACAAAAACATTAAGGGCCGCAAACAGCAGGCGGGCAGACTTACCACGGGTGTCATTTTCCACTTCACTCCTCCAGCGGTGCAGGCAGCCCTCCAGCACCCTCAGCTCCTCATCAGTGATGTGTCGAGGGGCGGGGTGCATGGGGAGGTCAGGAGGTAGCCTGGACTGGGTAAAGGGCTTATGAATGGGTACTCTCTGCTGCTGGGCTGCAGTGGGAGCTGGGCTGGGACCCGATGCTGAGCTCTCTAATGGAGGCAGGGAGTCCTGCTCGGCTGTGCTGCAGGGGGAGACACAGTTTATAACATTTAAATTAAAACAAATCTACACCAGCATGGCTGTTAACTTCAGCCAACCAGTCATGGTACACTTTACATCCACCGATGTATAACCAACAGAAACAAAACTTACCTTGGAAGGGGCAGCTGTTGCCCTGTTGTGCCACCAGGTGGTGCTGATGAGTCAATGTCTTCCACAGGGGAGGTGCACACTGGTTTACTTGAGGCAAACTCCATGGCATACTGGAGGACATCTGCCAGAGGAAACCTCTTGGGGCCGGAGCCATAACTCAGATACCTGAAGGAGAGAACAGAGAGAGATAGTCAGAAAAGAGAAAAAGAGAGAAAAAAAGGCAGGATAATAGACAAAGACGACGAGAGGACACAGTCAGGGTGAGAAATCACTCTCAATAGTTTTGCAGAGAGCTTTGTTATATAAACAGGTATTAAAGAAGTAAGAAGTAGTACCTCTCCAGTCGCTGTTGAAGCAGTGTCAGGTGCTCTTTCAGCCTCCTGATCTCCTCCCTCTTGATTCTGGTTATTTCTCGGTTTCTGTCCATGTACCTAAAACACGAAGACAACAGCAGAGGGTTGAGTCTTCAAGAGTTCAGCGATAGATTTATTAATAACAGCAAACATAAATACTGTGTTTAATTCTCTGATAAAAGTGTCTAATGTTGATTTCACCTGTCCATGTAGAGCATGGAGGGGAACTCGAGCTTGTTGTGGATCTTCTCAGGTCGCCCCAGTGCCTGGTTGAACTCAAATCTGGACAGTTCAAATGTCAACACGGGAGGAAGTTCTGTGAACCAGTGCTGAAAGAAAACAGAATGATCACGTTAGAGCATTCAGCTTAGTGAAGCTAGTTAGATTTTAGTTTACAGTTAACACACCTGATAATGTTGCTATGTCTGCAGATTTACATTTGACCTGCATTTCAACATGTAATAGAGGTATGAAAGGATGATTTCTTGTTCAATTTCTAACAATATGGAACACATTTGCATGAATGAATCCACGTTTGTAGATGTGATTGCTTTGATGACTCATCCTTTAGTTCTCTTTTACAAATGGATATTTTTTTCTTAATTTAACAACATCAGTGTCAAACTTTGTTAGCACCTGCTATAAAAGCATCTCCTAAACCTCAACCAGTCATTTTATGTTTTGCCAGGTGAAAGTGACCTGTATCTGATCTTTTTTGGCTCCTATGTGATTCAGATCTGATTTTGAATCTGAATCTGACAGTGTGAACAGCACAAGTCACATGGAGTCTGATCTTTTCACATCAGATACCACGTTCAGATGTGGATTCCCACAGGAGTCTCTTACTGATACAGGCCACATTTATAAAAAAAAAAAAGCGACGTGAACAGCCATACAAAAAAATCAGATCTGAACAAAAAAATCTGAATTGAGCATCAAGACTTGCAGTGTGAACGCAGAAATGGACCTCACACTACTTAGCGACGGCTGAGATGATCTGCATAGACGATCAGAAGCTTCTGTGAATGAGAAGCTGCTCTGTGATTGGTTTGTACACAGAGCATTGAAGTGTCAGGACTAAGGTTATTTACCTTTAACTAACATCAACACATACAGACAAGCCACTTAATAAACTCGATATAATGGCATAAAAACAGATCTAAAGTCTGAAAGGATTTATAATCTTAAAAGAATAAAGAACATAGAGATCAGTGAAAATGAGTCAGTCCTGCTGTCACTTCTCCCCCTGTTGCTGCTGCACTGATTCATTGTCTGGCAGGTAACACTGACAGCAGGAGGAGGGGCTGGTGTGGGAGTTGACAATTTGCTCCATTTTTAAAATGCATGACAAATGTGGTTAAATAGTCCACACACAGCCTTCTTTGTTTGAGCTTTTTCATTACAGTTAACCATTTGCTTCATAATCACATTATGGCTGAGATATACTGAGGGGATCAGAGAGACGGGAGGCAAAGCAGTGAACATATTGCTTCTATGCATGGATATTCACACTTACAGGCTTTTTACTTGAAAAAGGTTTCATTGCAAATCGTCATCATCTATATCTCAAGTTCACTCCTGCTTTCTATCCATGCTCCCTCCCTCCTGCTGATGGCTGGGTGCCACACTCCTCTGTGTTACCGGCCTGATAATTAGCTGCTCCCTGCTGCCCCAGTGGGACAGCGCAGACGAGGCTACAGCTAAGCAGAGGTCAGACTCTGAATGACCCAGGTGTCACAGAGAGGCCGGGGGGGTCAGCTCTTTGGAGAGGATCCGCCTAATAAGCTAAAATGATTTCACCTGATTGAGTAAAGTGATTCAGAACTGTAGACTCTATTGAACTGAAGGTGTCATCTTTAAACACATAGTTTAAAACACATTATTGCAGTACTGTCACTTCAAATCACTTTGTTTATACATTAACATCTGATAACAAAGATTGACTTTCTGGTGATTGACGTCTTTTATTTGAAAGTTTTGGGAACATTTTAACCGGGACAACGGTCGTCTTTCATCTCTGGTACTGACCTCTTGTCCCGACCTGGCCGAGTTCTCTGCCGAGTGCAGGGACTCGATCTCGCCCTCGATCATCGCGGCCTCCAGACATTCGTGGAGATCCTTGAAACCGTTCACCTGCAGCGGGTACTGCCCAAACATCTCTGTGTTTTCAAACTTTTTACCTGTGTGCGGAAAGTTACACACGTGCATTAGAAATAAACAGACGACCTCTGATAACGGTCAGTCGGACACCGCCACAGACACTTACAGGAATCATGGTGTTCATGTGTTTCTTTTAATGACAGCAGTCAATATAACAACTGAACAATTATTTGAACAGTCTGTCCAGCTTAGTTTTTGTTCCTGCATCTCCCGTTTCTGAGCACCCCTGAATGCAGCAATCAGAATTAAATGTTTCTGTTGCAGATAATTATGCTTCTTTAAAATTACATTTCCCCTCAGGCAGACGTTTAAGTCTCTCAGTTAAAAAGAAAACTTACAGGATCTATTTTATTTTCACTGCAACACACATTTTAAACAAGGCTAGACAAACACTACTTTTGCTTTTACCTTTTTATGGAACTTTTTGTAGGATTTGATGATTTGATGCAAGTCTAATGGGTGTGAATATTCTTACGTTACTTGAGCCTCTAACCAAAGTTCATTTTCTGTCACTATTTCAGAGAGAATAACGTTTTTTTAGTATTGAATCTTGAGTTCTGAAACTGAAAATCAATTTAAAGTAGCTAAGTAGGTGTTTCCTTTTTTTAATCATCAGCAGAAAGCTGTGTCCATTGGTCAAAGTAAGAGAGTGGATCATAAACATCAGATGATAAACTGTACACCGGTCAAATTCTTGTCAGGCGTGACGGCAGAGTTGGAGAAGCAGAGAGCGTGAAAGAAGGAGCTGTAACGAGCCATTTCACAGCCGTCTGAATCCGAGCTGATTTTCACTTGTTCAGCAGTCACTCACTCATCATATACCAGCTGCACAGACCTCCTGCTTCAACTACTGATGAGAGAGCGAGGGAATAGTTGCTAGCGGACATGCAGATGAGGCATTAAGGTCATTTTATGAGCAGCAGAGTCCACTGGCCCAGCTTTCGGTGGCTCTGGGCCAGTATTGTCATGCATAATAAGCACAATGTCAATCAGCCATCAAGGTCTTCCACAATCAATGCTAGCGCGCTCCTCTTTTACATGGAGCACATCTCATTAAGACAAGGTCACCTTTCATTACTGGGGGCGAGGACTTGCATGCATTCTGGCTGATGCAATCAGACCAAATTAATGCTTTAACTCTCTGTGATTGTCCATCCACCCGCTCACTTTTTCTCTTTATTGGCTTTAATTTAACAGCTCATCTCACCTTCCAGGACACCCACAGCCAGGAAGCGACCGTAGAAAAGCTCCACCATGGGGTTCTTTGGCTTCTCACCCTCCCTGAAAGCACAACAACACACAGGCCAGAGTAAGACCCACACAAAGAAATATTCATGACATTTCTGCACTGTGTAGCAATAGTGCTTTGCTGGATTTCATGTGGGACTCGACTTGAAAGCTTTTGTTTGCATATCTTGCAAGTTGCCTTATAACCATTATTTCCCCCCTGTTAACCATTCACTGTATTTTTCATCTCGATAAATGCAGTGAATGGTCAGGTGAACAAGCAAATGTATGAAGAGGACAAAATCAGCAAAGAGATGAGATGCACTGCTCTGTCCACATGAGTTTTCAAAATCAAAAGCTTTGAATGGTTTATGACATATAACTGTAATGAAGACATACAACATCTATACCTTGTGTATCTATAGAAATCATTTTGCCCGAAGAATTGCAAGAGAGTACTGTTTGATTCCCCCCCGACTTTAGCAATTACCTGTCCTCTTCAGCCTTCATCTGGAAAGCGTCCTCCAGCCAGTCCAGCAGCTTGTGGGTGAACTCGCTCACATCCTGCTGTTGAGCAAAACGCAGACAGAACAAACAAAAGGACCAATTACATGACCGCCTTTAAGACATGGGGATCACAAAGTCAAACTGCAGCTTCAAGCAAGAAAGCCCAATGAGTCAAATCAATGCCACGTCTGTCATGTGCTGATGTACACTGAGCCTCGTACAAAAGATGACTCGTCTTAGTCGACTGATGGCTGAACCTCAGAGGGAACCTGTGCGCCACAAGGCCGCTCTCTCATAGACATCAATGCCAAACACTAATTCAGGTCGATGCCCCTCCAACCTGACTAATACACCGAGTAGTGACATGACTGATGAGCACAGAGGACATAGAAGCGACCTCAGTTAACCTCTGCACGGCCACTGGCTTAGAGAGAATGTTTATGTGAGGACGAGAACACAGCGGTTACTGCATATTACAGAATACATGCACAGAACAGTTAATACCCAGTCAATATTATTCTCTGCAAAGTTCAGAGGGGATGATGAGGGTTTGAAGATTAATAGTTATAGATAAGAGAGGTTAAGTGCCTCAGGTTCAGTAGAGCTGAGTCAGGAGAACGGCAATGACACTTAGCGGTCAAATCCTCGGTTTAAAGGAAGAGGCACAGAAAGGGGGGGGGGGGTTAAATAATGAGTGTTACATAATGAGTTTGTAAACAGGTAAGAAGCATTTATTTTATGATAACAGGTGTTTGCAGGGGAAATTATTGTGTCATAATAGTCATGAAAAATACACAAAAAAAGAACTGCAAAGTACACTGCACAGTCTCTGTACTCTACATATTAATACACAAGTCTCATAGTTAATGTTGGCGGCAGTAGCTCAGTCTGCAGGGAACTGGGGTGGGAACCAGAGCAAGTATGGATTGACTAATTTATTTTTATATTTCTTAGTAATGACAAACATTACACATAACAGTTAATCCCTCAAAATGCTTTTTAAATGTATTGTTTTATAACATAGAGGAGAGATTAGAATTAGACATTTGTTTTTGTTTTTTTTGTAGCTTTTAAACTGAATAATTGGATTGATAGTTATACCCTGAAGTGTGAACTCTGCAGCTGTATTACCTATGAACTACAGGTGTTGTAAGGGGCTTGGAATATTACCATGCTCAATATGCTTGGATCAGGGGTCCAAAAAAAAACTTAAACTTGGAGGTGTTGACTTACTATTTTGATATCTTTTTCTTTAAAACAGACACCACCTGTACACTTCTAATGTTATCAAACAAGTGTTATTGAATGACTTACCTGCTGTGACTCACTGGCCTTGAAGGCGTCTTTGAGGATTTCCACAGCTCGGGATGGATCCACATATTTCCTCTTGGAGCCCACCATGAAGGAGAAGAGGTTCCTCAGCTCCTGCATGAAGGGCAGGTTCCTGTGCTCCTGTTCAGAGACATAAACAACCGATTAGTGAATCGAATCAGTTTTCATCATCTCAGATGGAAGCTGAACACTCCACAACAAATTCACTATTGTTTTTCATAACTCATGTAACGATATAGAACTTTAAAGAGCAATATGTAACTCTGACACCTAGTGCTTAAAATGGGTACTGCAGTCCAAATTCAAAACATTGGAGAGAGCTGTCTCCCCCCCCTCTCTAGAGTCGATGCTCACGCAGGTCACCATGTGGTGAACACTGAAGCTTCAGTGTTTATCCAGCTCTGCATCAGTCTGTAAACCTTTCTGTGTTCTAACCTCTCTCCATTTTTCAAAAGCATCTCCAATATTGATCCTAGTTTGAGCACGTTTCTGCTCGTGGAGCTTATTAGAAACATGCAGAGGCTTTTTAGGTCGGGTACAATCACTTCTATCTGAACCAGTTAGCTTACCAGCTTTCATCACTACTACTGTTGGTTTGCCGTTTGCCTGGCAAACTGAGGGGCAAAACGCCTGTGTGGGGGTGCCTTAAAACCGCCTACCTTCTCTGGTCCAAACAAATCCAGAGCATTCAGGACCAGAATCTAAAGTTAGAAGGAGGACATACTGGCTGCTGCATTGTTGTCAGAGAAGTCAGCACTTCAACATAGCATGTTTCCTTAATGTCTGATCATATAGTAAGGTCACTTTATGATTTCATTCGGAACATGTCTTACAAATTGATCCTTAAAGAGTTATGCTTAAATTTTTGTTTTCAGAGGAGAGCTGAGTTGACTGATGATGTAGCTGTTCATCAGGAGGCTTAAGGCCTGCCTCAACTCCCCCTTTGTGCATGTTCCTAGATTGATTGAAAGTTAGGTTGAGATAGCGTTTCCTGTAAGGTGACCGCCAATCGTTGGGGCCTCAAGTCGTCACTTCAGAAACCATCGGTTGATGTAACTGAGGAGACTACATCCATACATCAGTATTTGATTTGAGCGGTCTGGGCTTCAGTAGAAACATTGGGGTGCGGCAGAGTGTTCTCTGTCTGTAGATATAAAGAGCTTTAGCTTAACCCTATTCAGACTACCGTTTCAGGCCACACTGTTTACATCCCTGTGATGTAATGGAGGAACAAAGTGATCCCCCCCCTCTTTAATGGCTTCAGATGTAGTAACAGAGGAGGTAACAGAGGTGAGATGGTATTAGTGGAGGCAGTGGGGGAGCACAGCGCCGTGTGTGTGCATGTCTGACTGTGTGTTTATTTAGGGCTCACGCTATGCCATGCTTCTGCAACGACAAAAATGCAATGTGAATTCACAGACTTGGACCAGAATATTGCGCCATCGCAGAATCAACATGCGAAAAAAGCAGTCCGAAAGGGACTATAAGTTCTTACCTCCAGAAGTTCCCGGTGGTTTTAAACGACTTAAATCCTCCCTTTGAATCACACATTCATTACCTGTCATATCATATACTAGACCTTGAAGATAACTTAGCAGCACACAATAACAACACACTTTTCCTGTGCCTGTGACTGAGGGGAGCCGATGCAAAGATTAGACTGTAAGCTCTAGAGGACTCAAATTGCTAAAGTTAAAGGTCAGTGTTAAGGACCAGGGGAATTTATATGAAGAGATGAGTCCAAACTCCTAAAGTAGAGGATTAGACTGGATTAGTGAAAGGCTTCTGACCCTACAGTGACGACTCGGCAGTGAAAATATGGACAAACTATACCAAGCTAAGAACTCTCTGCGGTGACTGTGGCTCCACAACTTTGAACATCTGAAATGTTTCAATCCAGCGTCATGAAAACCCATCCCCCCTGCATGTTCAGTAGCGTCTTTGTGAGAAATACAACATTTAATTAAACATATCACACCAGTGGGTGCTTCTTATAGCTTGTTATTACCGAGCAACGTGAAAACTAAAAGCTTAAACACTGAGATGCTGTAACCCAGGGCCAGATCACACAGCTGCTGAACGCTGGCTCACAGCTCAGAGAGGGTCAAACCCTCGGAGCAAAAGCACTGCTAGCTGTGAGAAAACTATAGAAGAGCTGTAGTGATGTAAACAGGAGCTGACAGGAGGTCGCAAACACAAACAACTGAACCAAAAGGCTTTTAAAAAAAATCTTTACATTTGGTTTTTGGATGCTTTGTTTTCCTGCTTCAATGCCTGAAAGCAGAGAGGGCAGGGGTCTTACCTTCTGGTTACGTGGCAGGTCATGCACTCTGGCTGGAGGTGAGTAGTTGAGCACCAGCCTCTGAAACTCCAGCAGGTTGAACAGAGACTGCAGGATGAAGAACGATAAAGACATGTTAGTATCATCCGATGACATGGTTTTATGCCAGAACAACCCTGATGACAAAAAAACGTTTGTCTTGGGTTTTTTCTCATCGATTTTACAAAGTCCTCTGCTTCCTTATGTGCAGCATGGAATCTGCAATAATAGCCATAAGATTTGAACTTTGTAAAAAGACACACACTACTTGGTAGCACTGAGCTGTAAAACGATTTTATAAATTCCATTCATTCTTTGCATCGTTTGTGTGTATGGGGGGGAATGCAGAGGGAATCTAGCTAATCAGCTACACCTGGTGCTATTCATCGCCTCTCATTAACTGAGATTAATGTACATTTTGTAAATGGCCCCAGACAAACTAAACAATACACTAAACTAAACAAAATTCCAATTCAGGGTTTAGAGCGACAGTATGAGCCACCACAGCTTCCCTGAGCTCCTGTAAATCAGAGTGAGAGTTCACAAATGTCCCAATCAGCTAACGTGTGAAAACTGTGGAGATTTTATTTTCAGGCCAAATCACTCAACCCTTCTTATTTGTGTTCTTTTAATCATAATAATTTATCCTTTTATTAATCCCGCAAGGTGAAATTCAGTTTTACACTCTGTTTAATGAACATAAACACAAACATAGGCTGAAATACACACACAAGCACAAACAGGATCCTATGCACATGCATTAATGGAGAGGTCTCAGGGTGAGGGGGCTGAACACAGCGAGCGCTCCAGAGCAGTTTTGGGGACTTTTGAGCCATACCTTAAAAATAATCATTCTCATTCACTTGTTTATATATTTCCGACTTTTTCCTAATGACAAACTAAATTCAAGCAACTGTTCTTAGTTGTTACAGTACCCCCTCCTTTCTGGCAGTTTTAATCTATGCCAACAAACCAATGTATCATTCACAACCTTCCACCAGCTCCAGTCCTTTAAACAATAATTAAAGCTACAGTATAAACTATAAAGCTGATTCCTTTCCCTTACTCAATGGGCTAAGAAGACAGAGTGTGTTACATCACCTGTTTAAAGACCTGAAAGATAAACAGGGGTGATGTGGGAAAGTAAAAACATGATAAACTAAGTTTCAGAAACACTGCTTTCGTTTCTGTAACGCTGGGTCATGACGGCATGTTTCTGTTTTTTGTAAGTGAAAGTAAACATTAAAGTTGTCAGGGTGTGTACGTCTTGTTTGGATAAGAGAAAGTTGTTTACTGGTGTTCTTGTATCATGTGCAGTTGGATCGTTTGCGAGCAGAGACCTCAGCTTAAGGGAGGGGAGGGGTTGCATTACACACAGGAGCCAGGCATCATGTGATGGTGTATCCAGTGTTCATCTGGCATATTTCAGCTCAGGTCACATTCTGCCACTGAGTCACAACACACAAGAGACTAACTCTCTGTGACAGCAGGGGCTAACACTATGAAGAGTTTACAGTGTTTTCCCAGCATATAAACATTCAGATCTTTTATCCAGTGCTTTTTAGAAAGGCTGCAGAAGACTAAAGTGTCGATTTCTGCTTCATAACAGAATCATTAAGTACATGCAAACAAACAGGAACACACTGAGAAGTCCAATCCTCTCTCATAAGGTTTGTAGTTGCCAAAAAGAAAAGGAGTAGGTGTAAGAGCAGAATACTGGAAGAAATGGCAAAAAGCCAGGTTGAATAACAAGAGGCCTTCTCAACCAAAATGAGGAGCATGGAGTCTATAGAAAATCTCTTTCTAAAATGATTTCATGCTACTCTATGAGTGTGCTCACCTGGATGACAGCGCTGAACCAGCAGGTATTGCCAACATTTTTCAGCCCCACAGGGCAGCTGTCTATCCTCTTCCTGTCATGTGGGTTGGGTGAATCGCTCCATACTTCTGTGTGGGTGCGCTTCAGACTCGCCTTGTTCTCCGCTATGCTGGCCTCCAAAACCCTACAAAGAGAGAGAGAAAGCGAGAGATAGAAGAAGCAAAATGTCGAAATTAGAGCCAATAAACATATATAGTTATCTCAGCGTTGCCATCCACTTCATGCACAAGAAAGGCACGAGTAAACGCCCGATTCCACCTCTTTTTTTTTTTAATCCTTTCTAAATGTCTATTTGTCAGTTAGCGTTGCAGAATAGTCTTGCTGGTCGACTCCTCACAAAGTTGCAGCCATTTTTCCAGCACAGAATAGAGCAGAAGCTAAGGCTGTTAACTTGTAAATGTCCCTCCAGTGCATTGTTCAGAACGTTTTAACACATAGGCACATTCTCTGAAGAGGTCTCCTTCTCTCTGCAACCATCCAGCACAGAGACTTTAACATGAAAAACACAGAATGTAGCAGTTTGCTACAGGAAATCTGCTTTTAATTGAGTATCTTCTTTGACACACATGGCTACAAGTTAAGTAGCTTGTTGGTGTTGAGCTTGTTTTGAGGTTAGGATTCCTTAAGTATGAACAAGGTTTCTACCTGTAGAGTAGATAACATGCAGATATGACTTTTCTCTCAAACATGAATATGTATCTGGCACAACAAATAATAGCCTTACTTTCAAACAACAGGCCCTGAAATGTACTGTTGTACATGTGTTTATAATCTTAAACTATTATACAACTCAGATGAACCCAGGAGGTGAGACTGTTCTCGAGAAGATATTATACTCAGTTTGAGTTGTGAGAAGTAACACACGGTCTGTCCACTTGTGGTGTAAGAGAGCGCTGCTTCTAACAGCTCATAAACGATCCTGAGTGCAGACTGGTAGAGTACAGGCAGCGGCTGCTGAGAGCTCACAAACACCCAACAACAGCCAAGTTTAGTGCTGGCCTGATGTCAAGCTGCTCTCAGAGATACCGTTAACTAATTACTTGACATGATCTGATGTTTGTTATTTTATCCTGTCAAGTGACAGCTCGACAGCTGCTTTAAACGAGAAACTGGAGTCTGAATGTGTAGTACGAGCCTCTTTGCTAATAAGAGAGTAATCCTTATTTACAGATTCTAAATAGAAATGTAGAATCAGTACACGGGGGTCTGGACTGTCAGCATGGAGAGTGATATGTTCCCGTTTGTAGTACATTTGTAGTCTGAGCTGTATTGACCAATCACATATCACCAGGTTTTGGTTAATTCAGGAGAAACAGTCGGTGTGGACAGCATGAACATTGTCTGAGTTAACGTCATGCCAGCTCCCGTCAGCGGTAATATAACGAGGATTTATTGATCTCTTTAAACAGATATCTGGATGAAAGTGCAGCTGACAATCCATTGTAGCTCAAACGTTTCAACTTGAGCCACAAAGCTGCTCGACACTGTGTCACCAGAGCTAATCAGAGCTCAGATTTCCAGACTGCCTGAAATGCATCAGAAGTGATCGATCCGAACGCCGTTCAACAAACAAACGTTTTGAAAGTGTAATTCTTCTTCTCCTCTTAAAGAGCCCATATTATGTCCTTTTTGGGGTTTGTATATTTAATCTATGTTCCTACTTTTGTACGTTCACAATAGCTAAAGTCTGAAAAAAGTGTCTGTTTTCATGTACTGCTCCTCCTTGCTCCCTCTACGCTCTGAGTCCGTCAGCTACACTCTGTTGAGCCCACACTGTTAGACCCCACGTGGGCCAAGTCTGCTCTGATTGGTCTGCCGATCCGCTCTGTCGTTATTGGTCAGTTGCTCAGCACGCGTCTCGGAAATTTCAACATGAGCTGCAGGGCTTGCCACAACGAGCCAATGGACTTAGATCAGTGATCTCACACTGACAATGACGTCGGACTGACACATTTCTATCGAGGGGGGATAGAACCGAGCGCTACATGCAGCTAATGCTACAGCTAACAGGAGGACGTAGGAGAAGCCGCGTTTCTGCGGGCTTTGACTTTTTGCACATAGATGTTTCAAAGATGGATGATTCAAAAGAGGCTTATTGCTGCTACTTTTATTCCATTATTAGATTATGGTGATGTACTGTACATGAATGTACTCTGCTCCCTCCACATGGAACAGTCTTCAAAAACACTCAAATTGCAGGAACTCATCACTATTAATGATTTTAAAACTCGGCTCACAAGTTTTTTAATGGCTAATTTTTGAGAATTTTTGAGTTGTTTTTGTTTAACATGATCTTGTCCTCCTTCTCCTTCTCCTTCTTCTCCTTCTTCTCCGTCACCTTCTGTACTGCATTTGTCTCTTTTTCTCATGTCTGTGCTTACTTTTTGGGTTTGTTTTATATTTCCTTTTTGCTGCTGCCATTTTGGCCAGGCCTTGCTCGAAAAAGAGGTAATTTGATCTCAAGCAATTCCGCCTGGTAAAATAAAGGTTAAATGAAAAATAAAAATGTGCCTAAACATGCACAGGACACTTGTAAAACACACTAAAGAGCATATAAAACCAGAAAAAGCATAATATGGGACCAGAACAGACAAAGCTTCATTTTGTTACTTTTGAAAATCTGTTTTATGATGTTGTTATTTTAGCTAACTTCAGCCCCATTGGTTGCAATCCAATCATGAGAAAAACGTTGTTTTTTTCAATCTCATACCACTGAAGTGAGTCAGAGTGAAGCTGCTGTGCAACTTATAATTAACTGTTGAACTGAACTAAGACTCAACAGATGAACGATGCTGATCCAGGATGTAATACACCAAGAAATGACAGCTCTTATATTGCAGCCATTAATGCGATACGGAGAAGGAAGTCTGGTCTGGACGTCGTTTAGGCTAACCCCTGGCTTCATTAACATCCATTTCCAGAGGCGTACATCATCTATCAGATGGTGGACAAGGTTTTCTGAGATAGCTGAGAGGTGAGAGTGATACGAAGTGTTTGGAGTCTTTGTATTTTCCAATCCACAGTGAAAGATTCAGTATTCAGTCCAACAGAAATATGTTTAATGCCCACTCTTTATTACCATTTGCATATTTTTCAGGTAGCTCACAGTTTAGGGCTCTGCTGCACTGCTGCCTCCTAAAAGGCCATGATTTGATTCATCAGTGCAGATGACCTGAAGTTACTTAAAAAAAAAAAATTAACCTTTTTAATAAAATGTTTGTATAAATAACAATACATGATGAGTAATATGGGTTTCAAGCAATAATTCACACGGCTGTTAAGGGGAGCTGAATTATCCTTAGAGGCTTTTTAGGCAAAAACAAACTAATAAAGCAGTTTAATGTTAAAAACAAAACAGTGCCTCTCTAAAGCTATGAGGACACATGCAGACATGACAAGCTACATGTCAGGATGCTGCTAGCTTGTTTTTAGATGGTCAGCTTGTTCTTAAACTTTGATTTCTTCAGTGTTCTTCGCTGTCACGGTTTACTTTGACAGTAGGAACTTTTCACAGAGATCTCCCGCTCTCCAAAAGTAGACCAGGTAACTAAAACCATTTTTTAAAAACCCAGAATAAAGACAAAAATCTGGTTTGCGTGCAGCCCTGAGCACGCAAGAGTTCAGTAAGTGTGATCAGTTGTGTTGTAACCATTACTGAACTGTTAAAATATGCCAGGTTCAGATTCCAGACCAATCTTTCTGTTCAGATCAGGACATCGCTGATTACAGTACGGGTCTTACAAAACATAAATGCAGAGAAGGTATATTTTCATCTCACCCTGAGCACATTCTTGTAGGTGGTGCTGTCAAGTGTGGATTTTCATCTGAGGCTTGGCTGAATGTAGGTGTTTTTAACTGTTACTGATATAACAGATACTGAGTCCAGAATTTCTTGGCATGTTTTTCTTATTAGTCAGTTTTTGTTGTTGAGCCCACCTGCTGATGGCCTGCTCCTCGTCAGTGATGCCCGTCTCCCTGAACGCCCGGTTCGACTCCTCCAGGCTGAGGGCGATCGCTCTCTGCAGATCATCTTTATCGTCTCCAGTCAGATCTATTACATCTGCGTTAGGAGGAACAAAAAAACACACAAAGGCAAACATAAAGACAAACACAGCCTTGTTGTGAAATTATACACTGAGCAGATATGTTTCCATCTTCTTGTATTCAGCCATGTTAGGTCTACAGGTTTAAAAATCACAATGTGGGCTCACTTGTATCTGCCTGGCTGCCCACGCTGATATATCTGTCGCTGGCCACCTGGGACGTCTGGTAGTAGGTCGTCTCATCTTGCTGAGGAACCTTGGCGTTCTTCTCGGTCAGAAACGCCACAGCCTCGGCCAGGTCTCCATTGCTCACCTGCAACAACAACAACAACAACAACAAGGTGTTTGTTAAGGGTTAAAGCAGTTGGATAGAAAACGGGAACAACTAGATACAAATACATTTTACAAGAATGTAAGGAGTGTGTTTCAGTGTGTTTCACTGTGTCTTAGTATTCTTTGTTAGCAGTACTTAGGTCATAGAGGGGGGGCTGGTCATGCATTAAATATAAGGAGATCACAACAGCCGGCCCACCTCATCTACGCGAATGGGGTGGACATGTTTTTTTTTTCAGGGGGACAAAATTTTATGAAGTCTGAATTAACACACAAGCAAAATACAAACCCAAAATAAAAGATGCAGTAAGAGTCTGTGTTCTACACTTTATATCAAAATGTAATATTATTTCTATAAAAACAGACTTATGGAAGAGCTGCTGTTGTTATCACATTAGATTATACATCAAGCTTGTTCTGATATTTAAATATATACAGTGTGTGTGAATGAGCTGTGTGCAGTGTAACACATGGGGTTTGTAACACATGGGGTTTGTAACACATGTGGTTTGTAACACATGGGGTTTGTAACACATGTGGTTTGTAACACATGGGGTTTGTAACACATGGGGTTTGTAACACATGGGGTTTGTAACACATGTGGTTTGTAACACATGGGGTTTGTAACACATGTGGTTTGTAACACATGGGGTTTGTAACACATGGGGTTTGTAACACATGTGGTTTGTAACACATGGGGTTTGTAACACATGTGGTTTGTAACACATGTGGTTTGTAACACATGGGGTTTGTAACACATGTGGTTTGTAACACATGGGGTTTGTAACACATGTGGTTTGTAACACATGGGGTTTGTAACACATGTGGTTTGTAACACATGGGGTTTGTAACATGTTTGAAGATGTACCTGCAGGGCCTGCTGAAGCAGTTGAACGTCTGTGGTGCCCGTGACCTCCCTCAGCTGGTTTAGAAGTGTCTGCTGGTGCTGTCAGAGGAGAGAGGGAAGACAGAGGTTACATGTAGAGGGGGAAATAAAGGGTCCTAAAAAATACAATCTCAAGGAACAACAATGACAAGTATATACATAATTTACTGTTGAGAGTTTATCTATAAAGCCCCATTCAGAGAAAGAGTCACTCAAAGTGTTTTACAGAGTTAAAACCGATAATAAGAGCATTACATGACATTAAGATATAAAATATATGAAATACAATGTCAATTCAAAAAGGAAATACAAAGGAATTCAATTTAAGAAAAAGTTAAAGCAGAAAACAAGTTATGGCATTTCTGGGAAGGCAACAGTTAAAACATGTTTTAAGCCCAGTTTTAAACAACTGAACATATTTTATTGTGTTGGTGTACTACACATGTCAAGGTTTTGATTTTTGATAAACCAATTTTTTATCTCTGTAAGATCTCAAGTCGCCACCGCCCAGAGAGGACGAAGAAGAAATGGCTTTTAGCAATTTGCATTGTCCCTGTTAAGAAATAAAGAATAAAGAAGAATAAAACTAATAATAACAATGCAAGTCAGGTGTTGAAGCCAAGAGGGGGAATAGAAACCAGACTCCTGCTTTACCCTCTAAACAGACTGCATGATCTCGGAACTGTGTTACCTTTTGTTTAAAGAAAATGTTAACCACAAAACAATACTACTATTATCTGCTCGTAATGTTATTCTAATCTCCACATATCAGACCTTAAAGAGCGGATACAGTACTTAATCAAGCTGTCAACTTTGACCCCTGTTAATGAGTCTATTGAAGTCTGGTGACCTCCTGATGTCAAGCCCAGCTGCACTGTATAACCTAACACACACTTCACCTGCAGCAGAGCTCGGCTTGAATAAATGGGCGAGAGAGAGAGAGAGAGAGAGAGAGAGAGAGAGAGAGAGAGAGAGAGAGAGAAACAAAGACAGAGAGAGAGAGAGAGAGAGACAGAGAGAGAGAGAGAGACAGACAGACAGACAGAGAGACAGAGAGAGAGAGAGAGAGAGAGAGAAAACTTAATGTCAGCATCTGAGGCTGGAGGCTTTATGTCTCCATGAGAGGAACTCTCTCTTCTTTCTTTCTGCCTGATGGAAAGGCTGCAGCAGACAACAGATACCAGCATCACTTATAAAGAGACTTCACTGGTTAAAGACGATTTCTAACACTAGGTTGACTGACTTCACATCCATGGTAACGCTATTTTATATTTACGTTTCTGAAGACTTTTAATGCCGTTGCTGCAGTTACTAAAAAGGTGGTGAAAAAAAGCAACGCTGGATCTGGGAGAATAATTATTTTATAGCCCAAAGTGTCGACACAGACCGATCCCAAACACATACATATTAGTTCAGAGTCATATCAAATACAATCCCCCTCCTTCATTACCTCTAAGCACATTTTACACTGATCAAACACATTCCTCTCTCTCTCCTTCACAATAACAGCTTAGTGATTTAGAAAGAGCACTTTTGGTCGAGCACTAAAATGCTGGCTGACTGTTAGAGTCTGTTACCAGTCCCAGCTGGTCTGCATGAGTTATGATAGTCTTTTAATACACCTTTGTTTTTTACAGTTTTAAAATCAAATCAATGCTGTTCAAAGAAAGGGACAGTGGATTTATGTAAGGGAAGAAAAGATCAAATGTTTATAATTAAATAATAAGCAGACTTGAAAGAACATTACATTTATTGTAGAGTAGGTAAGCTAAATCTAATAAGTGAGGAGGACTGTTTTTTTACCCTTAAACCCTCCATGACCAGTGTTTGGCATTTTTAGGATTTCTTTTTTCTGCATTCATAAATGTTTCAATATATTATTACAATATATTTTATAAACAAATGCAAATTAGTGGTATATGATACAAACTGACATGTAAAGGGTTCATTTTTTAATTCATGATGATTAAAATCAATTTAAAAATATAAAAAAAAAGTGTTATCAGTGTTTTTTAGAGTTTAATATTGTTTTTAAAAAAAATTACTTTAAGAGGTTATGGCCATTTTGAGAAATAAAATCTCTTCGAAAAATCACTGGAAATTACTGGAATAATTATAATTTGAAGCCCCCTTGTGATCGGATCTCACCTCCTCGCTTCGAATGCAAATGAACAAGAATCCTCCTTCACCATTACTGCCTTTCAAAACGAGAAATGATAATAACAGAACATGAGCAGCACAGAGAGGAGAAATACGAGTGCACGAGTGGTACAGAGGAGCAGATGATTCGGACTGAATTGATGATTTTCTTTTCAAATATAAATTAATGACTATTCAAATATTTGTAAATGATGACCCATCATCAACATGTATGTAAAATCTACATAGGAAATTTATTTTCCATACCACCTGAAAACTTCCACAAATTAACCCTGTATTGATAAACCGAGAACTGTGGCACTCTAAAATCATTTCTGGCCTTCATCTCCGTCTCTATCCCGATTTTGAGGTTGTCTGCCTTGTGAAAATGTGATCGGGATTCAGAGATAATGTGAAGTTGGATATCATAAAATATATTTAAAAAAACCGTATAGCAAATCCACACATTGCCCACATAATTTCACTAAAGGATTTTCCATTAATTATTTGAAGAGACTAGCTCAAAGAATATATTTTCTCATCACATTAATATAACTTCAAACTATACAGGTATCAGAAAGATTTGATTTTAAACAGAGCACTGATAGCTCAGTCAAATACATGAGAAAGGCATCCGTGTGTAGTTCCTTGAAGTAAGGCGCTCGGTTGTTGCCGCCCTGGGGGAGCTGCTCTGAACCTGGTTTCACACCTGACTCGAGTCTTGCTTTCAGCTACAAGATTTTTTTTGTGAGCTTTCCAAGACAAAAGTGCTTTCATAAACCCCAGGGGCCATAGTGTCACCACTGTAAGTGAAGAGAAAGTTCACCGCTTTGTTAGAGTAAGGGCACATAAATAATGCACCACACCCAGTTTGTCTGTGAGCAGCATGCTCACCGTTTAGTAGCCACAGATGCACACCTCATAGGGAGGTGAACTGTAATGTAGCATGTTAGGTCACAGCAGTAGATAAGTAAATACCAATACAATCTGTGTATGAGTAAGGTGCTTAAAAATGTTAATAATTAGATACTTTGAATACCAAGTTATAAAACGATGCTTAGTTGATTGACGGTTTCCAAAAACACCAAAGCTTTAAAGTCTTTATCTGTGATTTTTCACACTTAAATGTAGAAAACAAATATATCCTCTGAAAATAACTCTGTGAGTCATGACTGTCTACAATGGGTGTAACACCCGAGTCACACTGTCTGTGATGTTTTCAGAGTTTTCACACTCCTATCTTCAGTTTGTTTACATCGCCAGGATGGCCGGCTGACTCCTCCCCTCGTGAGTTGTTTTGGTTTCATGCTGGTGGATCAAAAAAAAAACCCCACATATAAAGCCTTTAAGTAACGTCACATCTACAGCCATGTTTTTAACCAAACTCTGCCACGAGAGAAGAGAGAGCAGTGTAAAATACAAAAACATTTTGGCAATGCTTCTGTTAAATGTTGACAACATATTTTTGCAATTAAGACAAGTGTGCAGAAGTTTCTCTGCAATTTTTGTTGATTAAATCAAAAATGTACTGAAGTATTGGGTGCCAAGCAGGACTTCTATTTGTGTTGCCCTGGTATCAATATCTTTTGATTATTACCAGTACCATATCTAAGTTTGAAATTAGGTTATTTCTTTACATGTCACTTTAAGAGAATGACAAATATTGAAGTGGAAATCAGACATCGGGGCAAATTTTGCAGAAATACAATGTCCAAAATACAATGAACTGAATGGAAGACGGAGACTTTTATCAACACATTAACAACTGAAGAAAAATACAGCAGGATAGTTTAGTTAGAGAACAGCTACAAGAGATAGCAGTCTGAAAATCCAAAAGAGTAACTTTGAACTCACACATTTGTGACAGTTTTACATCACGTTTCACCCCCTGGCCTGGAGATAAGTAAACAAGAGGGCAGAGTGTTTGGGTCATTGACAGAGGCTGATGGGTGCACGTTCGTTGGCACAGAGAGTGGCCTGGTTGATGAAGTGTGAGGGAAGTTATACCTCTGACAGATTTGGGCCAAGTCAACCACAAGAGCAGTTACACACACAACACAACACAACACAACACACCATGTGACCTGATGTGGGGCATGGCTGTTTGTCACACTGGTCATCAGCCATTAAAAGAACGCTTGGGAATAACACCACATAATGCTCAGCAGGGTACATGATCAGACGAGGGGCATTCCCACTGAATCTACTATCTATCTGGTCCTCACTGCTGCTTATATGTGCATGTGAGAGTTGCAAACAAAAACAAGTCAGTGACCTAATTTTACGATCCACAGGTCCCTAGATGAAGAGCTGCACCACACCCTGCAATCATGAGCCCTCTAATGATGGAGCACAACTCTAATGACTAACTAAAACCCACATGGCCCTGAGGCACCATCAATACAAATCAAGCTTTTACAGAACTGTACAAGTCTTTTTATTTGTTGTTGTTGACAAATATTAAGTCTTGTGCAATGGCCATCAACTGTTGAAATATGCTCCAGACCGTTTTTAAGCCCATCTTTCTAGTCATTGTTAATACTGAGGCTTTTGAGCTTTGTTTAGTTTGCATGCATTCATTATTTTAATCCAGTAAACACATATTATGTACTCAAACATGTCCATTTATATCAGCTAAATATTTATTTGTATCCCCTCTAACTACTGAATCTCGATTTCCCATTGTATGAAATGCATTTGGATCTTTATTTTATTTTTATCAAATTGGTTTCTATCTTGTCAATAGTCTGGCATACTTTACTTGTTTTTAGTTTAATATTCATGTGCACTTGTTTTCCTCATTGTTAGGCACAATGAGGCCTGTTTAAGCAGCATTCCTTTTATGAATGCTGATATAATACAGCTAAAGATTAGTATGAGTATTGTTGTTGTTGTTCTCCATATTAGATTAAATTCAGCCCCCAGAGAGGTCAAATGGCATTACAGAGTTAGTGTTAATGCTGCTACTTTTAAGTTTGAGTCATGGCTGAAGTATTTATTTCTGTCTATGCTCCAGACTCTTAACATTTACAGCCCATCAGATATCAATTTCACACTGCACGGTTGTGTTTTTCAGCTATGTGAGCTATGTTGGATTTGGCTTAATAAAGAGCCCATCCTGCACAACTGAGGCACAACATTGCATGCAGTGAGATACAACATAACTGTGGTTACATAACTCTTATGCAAAGTATTTCTTCTTTCTTTTCATTCATACTAGCAAAGCAAACACATAACCCACGTTCAGCAGCATCAGTGAAGTGGTTACATAACTAACCAAAGCTGTGCAATGCTGGGGCATGGTGGTCAGAGTAAATCCCATAACTACTAGTCCAGAGGGAACAGACGTAAACTGGGAATGAGATCACCTATAACCTAGTGATCTGCTTTAACCAGTATGAACCGTCACACACTTGGCTTGCTGTCGGGATAACGTTACTAAATCTCCGCCAAGCACCATGGCTCGGCTCCGACTCTCCCTCCACCCCTGGCCATACTTTGTCAACAAACATTTCACATACTGTGTGAGAGGACTAACTAAGGACATCATTTAGCACATAAACATTACCGTAAACGCCAACATCAAAACGCTGAGTTAAGACAGAAATGTTCCCTCTGATCATTACACACCAGTGTTATATGTGTGTGTGTATATATATATATATATAGTGTGCAATAACTTTGTCATTCACTGCTTTATAATTGTCTATTTATTTACTCAGTCACTGCCCTTTAACTGTCTATTTATTTATTTATTCATTGCACTAAAACTATTTATTTACTCATCCAGTCACTGCACAATAATAACTGTATATACTCTTTCACTGCACCATAACTTCACTTATTTGCACTATTTCTCTATATTTATATTTGTTTAATTAATCAGTCACTGCAAAATATATATATATTGTATATATTCTTTCAGTCTCCACAACTGTCTATTTATTTGTTATTATTATCATTCACTCACTGAACAGCAATTGCTCTGGACACTTTTTGCATATTTCTCTTTCATATCACCATAAATATATTTTTGTTGTTGTTTTTGTCAAGGCTGCTGTTTAAGATTGCTGCAAACAAAGTTGTGTTGTGTCTTGTAAACAATGATAATAAAGATTATATCTATTTAAATCTGTATCTGTCACTTGGCCTTGTTTATTTCTGTTGACGACACAGTTAGCACAGGATGCTAACGTAACCAGGAGAACTAACGCCGATATTAACACGTATAAAAGGCTATCTCTCGATGTGACACCGCGTACAGAGACAATGTCCAGGTTTAAACTTTACACAGCACCGTTACTTAGCGTCGACTAGCTTAGCAACATACTAGATAACGCTTTACAGCTAGCACAGCGTCGGGCCTAGCGTAAATACATCTACTTACTTTGAGCAGTGATTACGTGTATGTGCACAATAAAGCGCCCCAACTAAAATGACAAATCAGGACTAACACAATTAACAGAGGAGCTGCCGAGCTGACTCTACTATTACATCTACATCTAAACAATGTAGCTATTTAGGCTAAAGTTAGCTAGCAGCCAGGTTAGCTTACCTTCTGAGAATGCTGCTGGAGGACATTCTGCTCCACGGTCATGGCGGGTTTAGAGATAAACTGTGTTAAATTGAAAGCTGGATTCGCAAAATGTAAGAGATAATTTTCCACTAAAGCGATTTAAAACACGGTGCTATGACATCCCCTCCTTGTTCAGCGACATTACGGGCGCCATGGCAGAGTGACTAGCGCAGGTCGTCAGCAGGAATGAAAACATTGCTCTGCCTTCACTCAGATCTGGGATCGATTACTTACGTCTTACGGAACTGCATTTACGTTCAAATCTCGGATAAAGAAATTAGAATTACAAGATTTTATTTTAAGAGTTGTAATTGTATTATTGACCACAACCCCTCATTATGTGTTGTAGTTGATTTTAGTTAGGATTTTTCAAAAGTACACTCAGTTCACTGCACATTGCACATATTGCACATTTCAAGTTTACTTTTTCTTTACCATTTTGTTTTGTACCTTTTGCACTATTTAGAATTTATTACTGTAAATATTATTTATCTTATTTTACCTTATTTTATTTTATCTATTTTACCTTGTTTTATTTTATCTATTTTACCTTATTTTATTTTATTTTATTTTACCTTATTTTGGTTGTATTGCACGATGGGACGGAGACAAACGCAATTTCGATTCCACTGTATGTCTGGCATATTTTGAAAATGACAATAAAGTTGACTTTGACTTGACTTTGACTTTAGACCAAACAATGAACAGTCTGAGTAAGAAACCATTATAAACCACCAATCATTTCTTTACACCTTTGAGAGTAAAATATGCAGGACTAAATTAGGCTATTTATTATTATTATTACAGTATTTGACAGTAAGTGTCACTATTGTCAAATTGAATAATTCACTTAATCATTCTTGATCTCTTAATTTTATGAATCAACTCTTCCCCTTGGCCTTTCATTTTATTTAAATTAGTTGTTTATTAAATTAGTTATTTTTAGTTTAGTTATGTTTTCTGCAGTATGTACTGTTTTTAAAAGGAAAAATAAATAGTAATAATTATTAGGCTTTTACTGTATTTTCTTCTAGTCAGATGATTCATATCAATATTATTGTAAGAATATTATTTTATCATTAAAAATAAATGGAACTAGGAATTGGGAATTTAACGTCTGACATATAATGTCTGACATTTTACCTAAATTCAAAAGGTTTGACCCCTTGAGTTATCATGAAACGTATTAACTTTAATTGTGTGTATGAGGAGGGACAATCTGCGATTGAGTTTTCTTTATTTTGGTTTCACAGAATGATGATTGTTTGAGAGGGTTAGAGAGGGTCAGTCACTGTCTGAGTCAGAAGTCTTTTTGATTCATGAAGCCACAAAACAACTAAATTAAACAGCCTTGTTGGAGCCAAAGTATGTGTTTGTTTTGTGTCATGGCATTTTCCTTATGGTTGTGTGCGTTGGCCCTCTACTGGGCACCAGGGCGGATGCTGTGGTTAAAGCAAGGCTCCAGGTGAGGTGGGACAGGTGATTGAATGGAGGCAAACAGTTTTTCTACCGTGTCAGCCTGTCGGAGTTAACGCATCCAAAGCGGATTTGTTTGTTTTATTTATAGACGTAGTGGTTCGTCATATTTTCCTTTATTGAAAAGAAGTCTTTATGGATTGAAATATCCAAATCACATCATCAATGGACTGTGTTCATTTCTTCGAGCTAAGCACGCGTCCGAAAGCTTCCACATTCATCCCTCAAGTGACTTTTCTAAACAATATTGGGAGCCTCATAAGAATGCTGCTAAGAGATTTATCTGTTTTATTTTTTTTAAATCCACCAAGAAAACAAGGATAGTTAACAGCTGTGCAAATGATTTATTTTCTTATTTGCTGCTGTTTGTTTCTGTTGGTTGTCTGAATCAAATAAAGGTTTCCCCAATATAATAACATGTGTCTTGAAGTATACAAGATTAAAAACGCTATTACTGTACTCTAACTGCCTATTATATTGTATTTATCTTCTCCTCTTGCTCCTGTAAGGTGGGAACTCTCATCGCGCCTCTAGGGGGTGCTAGAACACCACCACAAATATACTGGACTTCCACAGGCCTGACATGGTGCAGGTTCACAATGAAGGGAGCTAGTAATGCAGATTCACATGTAGATCCCCCTTCTGTGCCTTGCTCAATGGCAACCCGGGCACCTCTCCAGCTACCAGACTACTTCCAGATTTGGTCTGCACTTAAACATGGCGACCCTCTGGTTGCCAACCAAAGTCCCTTCAGACTGAGCTACTGCTGCTCCAAAGAAGATTAAGAACAAAACACAAAAGCAAAATTGACTTGTTTGACGATAAATCAAGCAATTAATCAAATTGTATTTTCTTCTTTTTACTTCCCATTAATCTTCTCTGTATAAAGTGTCAAATTTGAATTGTATTTTGGATTAATTATATATTGTTAAACCAACTTGTGTTTTTCTCACATTAAGAAGAGAACAAGTTTGATTTAGCTCAGATTGCATGTTTATTTGTTGTTCATTTGTTTCTATTTAACTTCTGTTTCCTTTGTATTTGCACGTGATAATTCCCCTTTCATCAACCAAATGTTAGCATCTAACAATTTAAACTAAAAAGCTCTTAATTCAACGTACTTTAAACCTGCAGCAATAATTAAAGAAGAGACTAAACCGAGTGTACTTTATTCAACATGCCTGTGTTAAAGCTTGATCTCTAAAAACGTTCTATTGCATAACACGCAGAATCATCACCATGTCTGGATAATAACGAGCAGGGGTCTAAAATCGGGGGTTAACCAACCAATGTTCTCAATATTTGCGATAGACTGACTTAATTCAGTTGTCTATATTCCAGCCCTAATTATTCAGACAGATGAAATAACATCCAAACAGTGGGCACTGAAATGTGTCAGCTGTGATTAATTCAGTGTGCTGGTTTGGAAAAGAAGAGTCCTCTCTCTCAGAACTGGGTCATCCTTTAGATGTTAGGAAAAGCATTGTTGTAAGAGTTATAAGTGAGGCAGTCAGCATGCTTTGTTAACATGAACTGTGTCATCTAACTGGTGCATATCAATATTAATGGGAGTAATCAGGACTCTATGCAGAGATGGGGGGGAAGGATTTAGGACATTGCACAGTTAAAGGAATCTTATGAGGATTCAGTTTCATTTTCTTATTCAGCACAAGAGGAAAAGTTGGGGGAAATAATTAGGTGATTTGATTTGATTTGCACTAACACAGGCTATAGATTGAAAATATCAATATAAGTTTATTCCAACGAGATAATTCTTTATTTCGCACAAATGCTAGAGGCTTGTTGTCAATCATCCTCAGTCCAGCAGGTGGCAGCATCCTCCTTTGTAGCACATTGAGAGGCCAAACATCATATCAGCAGGGATATGCAAAAGGAAATGAATCATGAAAATGATTCCACTTGGTACACCAAGTAACATTATAAATCATGAAGTCTGTTTCCAGTTTTCAGCTCTGCACCATAATCAATATTTGATACTTCTATGTGCTGAAATATTGACCAGCACAGTGAGTGAAGGTTACCTTGTGCACCCACAGCACCCTCTGATAACAGCCTTTCTCTTGTCTGAGCGGACTCATCTCAGCGCTGACCTGCGGGCCAGAGGGAGAGCTATCAGTCAGAGAATCTGTGCTGCTGTCAGCAAACCAATCAGAAAACACATTGATGAATCAATTGGTGAAGTCAAACAGTAGATCCCTGCTGACAGGTTGATATAAGGAGTTCAGGCTTGTTTGTCAAAGATCAAAACGTATCCTGAAAGTGAGCCGGAGGGCTGCATGATAATAGCTTCACTCACAACCTGCATGCTCTCGCTGTGAGTCAGGAATTCAACTGACTCACACCAGCAGATAAATAAATGTACAATATAACTCTACTTTACTCTTGTTTTGTTGTAAAAGTTGGGTAACACTTTAAGTGAAAGTCACAATATCCACCATTAATTCATTATTAGCATACTAATAAGTAGCATACTGGCTGCTTATGAGTCATTATTAAGAGTTTATGAGTACCTTATTCTACATGAACATATTCTATAGCTAATAGGATAGGATAATACTTTATTGATCCCCAGAGGGGACATTCGGGCGTTGCAGCAGCACAGACAAGAGGGTAATAGGCCTTTAGCTATAATAACTCAATACTCTCCTAATGACTCCTTTTTGATAGTTAGGAAGTTGTTATACATGAATTATGATCTTGTTTTTGCTTACTTTTACCTGATAAGTACCAAACTAAGCAAAGCATATTAAGATCATAATTTATATTCAACAACTATAAATAGGCAGTAATTATAGGGTATTGGTATATGGTAAATGGACTTGAGCTTGTATAACACTTTTCTAGTCTTCTGACTACTCAAAGCACTTTTACACCGCAGGTCACACCTACACATTCACACACTGATGGAGGAGGTTGCTAGTGAGACCATCAGAAGTAACTAATCCCATTCATACACACTCAAACACCGCCGACAAAGCAGCGGGAACAATTCGGGGTTGAGTGTCTTGCCCGAGGACACATTGGAAATGTTGCTGCAGGTGCCGGGGATCGAACCCCCAACCTCTTTACCAACTGAGCCACAGCTGCCCCTTAATATTATTGAGAGCAAATTCTTAGCTAAAGGCCTATTAGCTATTGACTATGTAGAATAAGGTATTAATAAGCACACAATAATGACTAATACACAGCAAGTATGCTACTTATTAGTAAGCTAATAATGAACTATAGTAAATGGTGAATATTGTGACCTTAATTTTTTTAAGTTGTGTTTTGAACGTGTAGTTTATGCAAATACTTTAAAAGGAAGTTAATGGCAAACTTTTTCACACGCAAAACAAGATGAGAAAAAGCATAGGGCAGCCATTTAAGATTATTGTCATTAACAATTTGTCTGCCGACTTTTTTCATAATGAACATGAAGAAAATAAAAGTTGAATATGCAGCCGGAGCAATTTGGGGTTAAATGTCTTGCCCAAGGACACATATAACACTGGTGTGTAATGATCAGAGGGAACATTTCTGTCTTAACTCAGCGTTTTGATGTTGGCGTTTACGGTAATGTTTATGTGCTAAATGATGTCCTTAGTTAGTCCTCTCACACAGTATGTGAAATGTTTGTTGACAAAGTATGGCCAGGGGTGGAGGGAGAGTCGGAGCCTTTTTTATTATTTTTTTTATATTTAGGTTGCACCAGTAGATCAACTGTAACACCCAG